AAACTCTTGGTTTTGTCCAGAACAATTCACAGAAAAGGAAGCCCTATTCATTTCAGCAAATATCCTTACAGAAACATTTTTAAAGATCTTATATAAACTTGTGGGGGGAATCGTTAATGTTACTTAACATCAATACAGTAGAAGGATAATGAGAAAACTGTGTACTAAAAAGTACTAAGACTTTCCCATGAAAGCCTGCTTTAGATTAAAGCTCTTGTTTATAATTACACTATTTACAACAAGATATAAAGCATTTTTCCTTTTAATACAAGGCATTTTGAGACCAAGTGAAGTGGAAAGGACACAGAATTTTCTATATAATCAGACAAAAGTTTTGAGAATCAATTAATGAAGACGAAAGAGCCAGTGCACAGGATCACTCCACCAGGAAACACTAGCCAGAAGCTGAGGACAACAACCCTAGCAAAGGCAGGGCAGGACTTGGTGGCATGACACCACCAGAATTCCAATCAACCAGTGTGGACAAGCAGGCAGGAGGGCTGACTGCAGTTCTTCCCAGACCGTAGCTCTGAGCTTAAGTGAGGCTCCTGAACCCCTGGGCAGGGAGTGTGGATGGAAGTCCTGGATGAGGCTTGTCCAGGTAATTAAGACCTACTGGTGCTCTCTGATTCTGGCAGTAGGGATTGAACATACCTTTACACAGATTTCTGAAAGACATACAGACATAGATGAAACAGAAAAGAGGTGAAGATGTCACTCCCACTACTATTCACTCTGCTTCTATGGCAGGATCACCACATATCCCTGCAGCAGTCCCAGAACTAGCACACTCCTTAGTTTGGCTCAGCCGTATACATAGGGATCAATGTGTCTTCAGTCACCAGACCGATTCACAAGAATATCCGATGTTCTTGACTCAGGAGTGACAACAAACAACGGGGTAAAATAGTCATGTAGAAGAGAAGATGTAACACTTTTAGCCAACTAGTCTTAATCCCCTATCTCATATCTTCCAGATCTACTAGGGCACAGCTGCAGCACAGTTAAGAAATTCCCTCACCTGCTTGCTGCCACCCTCTTGAAAAGTATCGTACCCTGTCACAGCAGATTGCAGAGCAGATGGAGTATGTGCACTCACTTGAGTACAAAGTCTGGCACCTTAGAGCAAGACACTTCTCACAGCTACTGCTCAAGTGGCTAACAGCAGCCTAGACTCTGCACCAGGGATGAAGGTGTTTTGGACTTCCACTTGCCAAGTGTGTAAGCCCTATAAATGTTTTTAAATCAAAACCTATACATTACATTTAAATGTCATTAGTTGGTTTTCCTTGTTTCCACTTCAGTCCAGAGTCCTTATTGCAAGAACAGGAAACAGGCCAGTGGCTTTGGCTGCTGTCAGTGGCTTCCAACCAGCTCTATGGCCCACTGCTTTTTAGAGTTCTCAGTCTATTTTTAGCAGCAGTTGAAGAAATAAAAGCTATTTAAAACAAGCAGCATAAAAAGAAGTATCGTTTGCTTCACATGATTATTATGTGCATAGTAATGACAGGAAGACTACTGCAAATGTTTTCCAACTCAAAAAAAAAAAAAGAAGAAAGCTTCCTATGCAATATCCAATTTTGAATTTTAATTTAGATAACTCAGATTATTTACTGGCAACAAAATATGCATATTCATGAGATCTGATTTACTATAATCTTTATTTCTGATGTTCTGCATCTGTGAATACTTGAAGTACTTGAGTTTGCATTCATGGGTAATTATATAGGAATCTCAGAGTAGCAACAGATTGATTTATAGTTAAGAGTTTGTAGCACAGAAAACCAATTCATTTTCTTTCAGAAGGGCTGCAGCAGGAGATTTGGGACTGATGGCTTCCACCCTCATTTCTGAACAAATTACTTTTTATTGTCTAATAGACATTCAAATCAAGGTCATTATAATGATGGTCAAAACAGTGATTTTTAGATGCATTTACCAGTACTTAGCACAGGTCTGAAGAAGAAAGTTAAAAAGGCAGCAAGTAGAAATCTTTAAGTTAGCTTCTGTGAAAGTGAATGGTGCTTTAGAGGGGAAGCTAGACACACTATTTGGTCATTTCACCTTCACACCCAAGAGCTCCCTCCAGTTCCCTCACAATGACTTCTATTGAGCTTTCTAGAAATCCAAGCACTCACTATGCAAAACACATTTTTTTAAGAAATCTCTGCATCTCTAAGCACACTTATTTCTGGTCTTGCCTTTCTTGTCATTCATTCCAGCCTTCAAATGAAGGAGCACAACTAAAGGCTTCCCAGGAAAGCTACTCCCTCTTCTTCCTGGCCTTGTGTGACAATAGACCAATGAATACTAGTAATAACAGCCATTAACACAGAAACGTGGAGGATGTGCAAAGTACTTTTTAAATCGGCTTTGAATCACTGTATTTAGAGCCACTCAGGCTGTTACTTTGTGAGTCTAACCCAGTGAAAACACATACAGTGCTCTCACCAATACCTTGCAAATGTTTGTAAACAGTAAAAAAACCACACATATGAACAACTTTTGCTGAACAAAAATCTCTTGTAATGTCTATTTTCCACACAGTCTGCTGTAATTCTACAGCATTACTCCGAGACACGTAAAGATAATGACAACTAGAGTTTCTCAAAACTATAATGCAAAGACCTACCTCTGAGAGCAAATCCACGATGTCATTCCTTTCAGGTAGAAGTAACCAAAATTTATGCACACCAGATCATAGTTGTTTTTTGAGTGCAACTATGTCACAGTCTACTAGCTAAGAAAAGTACCTTGTTCTGAACAATTATTCTGAACAATCTATCACATCTCTCAGCTAAACTGTCTCAGGTGAGTAGATACATGCACTTCTTTTTTTTGGCCCCACAAATACTGTATGAATTTTACCTCAAAGAACTTTAAACCCATCTTGTCCTCTGCTGCTGGCAGATGTGACAAGCTCTAATGTTATAAGCATTATGAATAAAACACTGTGCTACAGAGGAGGGTAAAATATTGCCTGGAGCAGGTGTTGGCCGTTTGCAATTTGCCGCCACTTGAAGTGCAACTCATCCTCCCTCCATTTTGAAAGAAAGGCTTAAGTACTTTAGAAAAAATGCTTGCAACAAATGCAAAACAAACACGTTTATAAGCAGAAAATGTAGATATGGAAAAAACCCACTCTGTCTCAGAGTACATAGCATAACTTTTTTGACTTGTGTGTTGAGTTGTGGACTATCAGTAGAGCTAGCTAAACGTGATGCCAGGAATGCTGCCTAAAAGCTAAATAAATCATTCAACCTTCCTTTCAGAAAGATCCTTGAACAACAGATGAGCTGATAGACTTCACTGAAAAAAAACATTATTCTCAGAAAAGTTGTCACCTAAGTTGTACTGAAATCTTGGACTTCCTGAGAGAATTTCCAAAACCCATAAAGCTCACATGAATTTAAACTTTTTCAAGCCCTTCTGAGATCCAGAGAACTTCCTCCCATCTGTAAAATGCACATATCTTCAATAACTATATATTGAATGGTAAAAAAAGTTTAGGGTTGCATATCACCTCATATGTTAGTCACAAGTCAACATACATTTTCTTAGAAAGGTCAGAAGATCAAATATAGCTAAGAGGTTTGCCTTCCTAAAAACTTTGCACTACTGAAAATACCACTTCACTCCTTAAAAGAATTTTAAGCCTTTCAACCAGTAGACACTAATCATCACAAAAGAGCTTGAAAGTTTTAAAATGAAGTAGAAATAACACCCCAATAGTTTTAGGAAGGCAAGTACTTAAGCACCCTTAACCTGCTTGAAAGATGTAACATTCATTATAGAGCTGCAAAACACCTCCTTCAGCCCTTTCTCTGCCTTTATAAGAAAGTGGAGTCCACTTTCAATAAAAGAATAGGTAATGGAACATTTATTAAATAAATAATTAAATAAGTCTTGGGCCTCAACCATGCCCTAAACAGAAGCTCTCTGTAGTAAGCAACTCCCCTTACTTGCCTAAAGTCAGTTCAGAAGCAGAATATTTTCTGCTCCTGGAATAGTTTTAAACCCTGTTTTAAATGTTCTTCAGCAATACCATATTTTTTCCAGATCTTTTAACATAACTACTTATCTTAAATGAATCAAGCTTATACTTAAGTTGACCTAATACCTTCAGCAAACTGCAGTTAACATTCAGCGGCAACACGTCACGTTCCCCTACACATAACTCTGAGTAACTCCTGTAAGCTTTCTGCGCAGAAAGAATGTTTGTTATTTCACTCAACCAAACAGAGAAGGAAGATGAGGGCAGATGTATTTGTAAACAGCCACCTGAAGCCCAAACCAAGCTTGCCACCTCAGGCTGTTTTAAGCAAGAACTTGATTGGGTTCTTCTATAAGTCCTGACTTTCCATGAATAAACAAAAATATTTCTGAGGTACCAGAAAGTATTAAGAAAAAAAAAATCCTTACTGGTTTGTAGCTAAAAGATTTTGGTCCTGCAGGAGATGAGAGCAGTCACAGGGCCAACTTTCACCAGCCCTCAGTGCACCAGGACACGCTTCCAACATCCCTGACCTAAAAATGCAACAAAAAATTGCAACAAAAAATTGCAACAAACTTTTAAAAATCACTGATACAAGGTCTTGTGAGCACAGTGAGCAAACGTTCAGTCTCCCACCGAGTGGCCGTACCCAGCCTCCAGCAGCCCCAGGCACGGCCGCCTCAGACTGGGGGTGGTGGGACTAGGCCTTACCCTGGGGGCTGCCACCCTGGGACACAAGCTGCGACCCTCACACTCAGAGGAAAAAACTGTTGCAGCAGCGCGGGAACCCCACCAGGGCTCGGTCCGTCGTGCTCTCCAGCCTGCCCGCCAGCAGCGGGGTTTGAGCGGGAGGAGGTTACTCCGCACGTCGGTGCCCGCCACCTCCCGGCGCCGCCAGAGGCCGCCATCGTGCCGGTCCGTCTCCTAGCGACGGCGCTCCGCCCCCTCCCGCCATCCACTCCCCGTGATTGGCCTGCCTGGAAGTCTATCACCCCCTCAGCCCCGCCTCCTGTGCCGGGCGGAGCGGAGCCTGGGCCGGTGCGGGACGGGATGGCGGCTGTACGGCCTTCTCCCGGGGGTCGCTGGTGTCCGAGTGACCTGGGCAGTGCTTTAGAGTAACCCCTCAGTGCTTCCACCGCCGTCACCGTGGGTCACGCCGGCTCGGAGCACTCTTTGAGAGAGAAGGTAGCGGGGCGATAGGGACAAGGTAAGGGTGCGGGGTCGGGCTTCACTGGCGACGGGTTTGGGTTTCTCCGCACCGGGCCCGGCCCGGCCGTGAGGCGGTCGTGGGCCCTCCGCCCTGCCGTTGGAGCTGGCAGGTCACTGTCTCCCAGCGAAGCCCCTGAGGCGGGGAGGGACAAGCCTGGGCATGTCCCGGGGAGGCGGCGCCTGCGCGGCCCTTCTGCAGCTGCCGGCCCTGCGGGGCGGGGGGAGCTGGCTGCGGGCCGGGGGTCTGCCGCCGTCACCTGGGCTCCGGGGTCCGCGGCTGTGAAGCCCTCTGGCCTGGCGCCGGGTCAGCAGCTCTGTCACCCAGTGCGGTGGGCGGTGTAACTCTGAAGTTAGAGCTGAAAGATACCACTGCGGTGAGTAGCGGGGCGGCTGCACCCCCGGCCGCCCAGCTGATGGCTCGGGGCGGGCCCAGCTCGCTCTCTGCGGGGAACACGCTGGGGTCACCGCGGTGTGTGCGCCCCGGCTGCTGCATCTAAGCTGCTAATTAGCAAAAGTACCTTTAAATGATTAGGTCACATACCGACAGAGAAAAGAAAGTTTCAACCTTTACTTGGAAACAACTGTAACTTGTTAAGTTTTTTTCCCCTGTTAGCGGTTTGATACACTTATGTTTGCTTGTCCTTACAGATGATTGAAACACTTGTAACTACTGAAGCTCAGGAGCTGCTGTACCAGCTCACAGCCCTGCTGGAACAGGAGTTAAGATGTCAGCCGAAGGCCTCTGGCCTCAGACTAATTGAATCTACTCATGATAATGGTCTCCGAATGACTGCAAGGCTGCGTGACTTTGAAGTGAAAGATCTTCTCAGCTTAACTCAATTCTTTGGCTTCCATACAGAGACGTTTTCTCTAGCTGTGAATTTCTTAGATAGATTCTTATCAAAGATGAAGGTAAGGCTTCTTAAAGTATAAATTCTAAGTCGTTACCTTATGCTCATAGCAACATTGTTCCTCTTGTAAGTTAGAATGTCTTGGTTTTAAATGGCTAAAGGTTAAGCTCCTTCCAGAGATTCTGATTGTGTAAGAGCTAAAAAATGGCTTTCTCTGTTCAGATTTTAGTATTCTTAAGAAAGCTCTTTCCTCTGGAGAATAGAAGGAAGAGGGCATCAGTTTCAACTTGAGGATGTCTCTAGGCCTGGAAATGCAGGCCATATTAATGGGTTAGATCAAGACAGATTGTCTTCCCTGTTCCATGTATACAGCAACACCTTACATTACTTATTTTACTGCTGTTTCAAACTACCAATAAATTTTGTGTATATCAAGAGGCTTGATGGTCTTCAGCACTCAGAATCTGGTAAAACATTTAGTTAGCACGTCATTCTACTGTGTGTATGTGTCATGCTGACCTGGGTTGTTTTAAATTGTCTAACAAGACAGGATTACCAGTACACGATTTTGTCAAGAACAAAAGCTTGTTTTCCTTTTGTGTTAAAACAAAAATGAGAAAGCTAGATGGACCAGGTAGAAAAATAATTATTTGAAAGACTTCTGAATCCAAAATAGGCAGTAAAAATGGAAACTGTAGTTTCTGTAGATGATAATAGGTTCATTTATACATACTTGTACATATATGTGTGTGTATATATATAAAAAAGAGTAAAAAAACCCAACAAAACAAACAAATTTGTTTTGCATAACCCAGTATGTCCAACACTTGAAGTCCTAAAAGCTTGATTAGGCTATTATAGAACATCATTAAGAAACTTGTTCTACTTCAATCAGAATATATTGTTGTACAGTCTTGCTTTTTAGATGAATGAGGCAGAACTTGTAGTGTGTAATGGTCTTCTTATTTAGTTAAATAAATTCTTATCTAAGAACGTAAGCAGATAAAAGACTGATTTCTTGATCTTGGAAAAAACAGAACAACCCTCCCCACACCCCACAATTTTTTCCTAAAATAGACTGGTTCCTATACAGTTCCATACTTACATGTTGAAATGGGTGATCAAAGGCCTTCCTCTTTGAAAGTAATAACAATTTCCTGTTCTTTAGGTACAGCCTAAACACTTGGGCTGTGTTGGACTCAGCTGCTTCTACTTGGCTGTGAAGGCATCAGAAGAAGAGAGAAATGTTCCCTTAGCCACTGACTTAATTCGAATAAGCCAGTACAGGTTCACTGTTTCCGATCTGATGAGAATGGAGAAAATCATATTGGAGAAACTGTCTTGGAAAGTCAAAGCTACAACGGCCTTCCAATTTCTACAACTGTATCATTCACTCATTCATGAGAACTTAAGCTGTGAAAGGTAAAATATCTAATACTTACTTTGCTACGACTGCATATGATATGAACGCCTATGTAGAAAAAAAAGCAGGGAAATCACCCAAATAATTGGCCTTTCTATACTGAAAAAAAAACCAACACAAACTTCGTCCTTTATTGGTAAATATCATAAATGTGAGTTTCTGAAGCTAAATTTTATTTTAATTTTAAATGTTGTTTGCAGAAAGTGGTCTGAAGACTATTGCTCTCTGAGCCAAACCCCAAACTTGCTCAGTAATGATGGTATAATAAATCTCTGCTTATGCTGCACTAATTATTGCCTCACTGCAAAGACTTCAAAATGTGGCTTAGAAAGAGATTCCTTTTGCTAATAAGCATTAAAATTCCTTGTTGATAAGCCTATTTTGACAATGCAACTCTCCCAAATGTAACACGAGGTATATTTTTGGCACTAGGACTGCCAAAACTGAACACCTGTTGGACTGTAACCCTAGAACTTCTGGGACAAATGAGGCCCTTTTTTAGATAATGAACATTCTCTCTGCTTCTCTTGAGTTCCCAGGGTGGTACTGCTTTGATCAAGCTTGTGTTGTTCTTATACATTTGCTCATCTGTTTTTTATTATAGGAGAAAATACCTTAATTTTGAGAGACTTGAGACCCAGCTTAAAGCATGTCACTGCAGAATCATGTTCTCTAAAGCCAAGGTAAACTTCTTGAAAGCTCAAAGACAATGAGACTACTGAAACTTAACAAAGCAGTGTTTAAAAATGCTTTCTCTCTCCCCAGCCTTCTGTCTTGGCACTGTCTATCATGGCACAAGAGATAGAAGAACAAAAACTACTGGAGTTGACAGAGGCATTGGAATTTCTGCAGTCGCATTCCAAGGTATGTATACATTAAGTTTCAGGGGAGGAAGGAAACTAAAATGCATGCAAGGGCCTAGACAGTGGGGAAGGGGCAGGTCCATTGGCATACTGGTGTCTTTTGTGGCTTTGTTGGTTGGGTTTTTTTTCCCAGTTGGTTTGGGATCTTTAGCTTCCTATCTTACGTGAAGAAGCTTAAAATACATATGTGAAATAAAAATTTTATGAGTTACTAACATATGGGATTCTGTCTCACTATTTATAGATAAACAACAGAGATTTGACCTTCTGGAAGGAACTGGTGTTGAAGTGCCTTACAGAATATTCCTCGAGCAAGTGTTCCAAACCAAATGTCCAGAAATTGAAATGGATTGTGTCTGGACGTACAGCACGGCAGCTTAAACATAGCTACTACAGAATAACACACCTTCCTACAATTCCAGAGACCAGCTCATAATAGGTAATTCCTTGTAAAATCAGCTTCTGATAATGTAGAAGAAATTAGCTGTTAACTACCTCAAAGTTTCTTATTCCATATAGGTAACCTCTTGAAGACATGTAACATAAACGGTAATAGGCCTGTCATAGAGGCTGGTCTGTTCTCGTGTTCATGCTTGAGCCAGTGCTGTACCAAAAGAAGTGGCAACCTAATATGTGAACATTGGAGAAAGAACTGATCCTCTGGTGTGCTGTGGGAGCAGAAATGTGTTCTACAGGCATTGGGACCTCATTCAAACTAAAATGTGGAATAAAACTGGTAAAAAGGCAGAGGGAAAAAACCAACTTGGCTCGATCCTTTCCTAAAAAGAATCAACTAAGAGGAAACAGCTGCCTATTAGAATGAGTTTCTTGTAATTGTTCACTTAAACTACTTAAAAGGAAGATGGTTTTATATTTTTACTTGTATTACTGTCTGTTTACTAAGTCTAAAAACTGTAATTCCGTTACTCATATTACTGGTTTTTTGCTCTGTAGAAATTGTGAACTACTTCCTTATCTAGACCTTAATTCCAAAGGCTATGTATTTTCTGTAAAAGCTATCTTGCTGTTGTCTTGCTGCATGAAAGTCTGAAACTTTGGCTCTTGTGGAAAGCCCTTCAGTTGACTTTTTTTTTTTTCCCCCCTTACAGGAATACAATAAAAGGAGGAAAGAACTATCCTGTGACCTTGTCAACAGACACGTGAATATTTGAGAAACTAAGTTTGAAACGTGATCTTAATAATGAAGAACTCATGGAAAGAATGTGTAATGTTTGAGACTAAAGATCCTTCCAGAAAATATGTTCTTACTGTGATGATTACAAAAAATATTCAGTGTCAGTTTTCAGTCTTATTTGTTAGACTGTTTACTGTTCAGTGAAATACCACAATACTGATACAAGGAACTTTAACACCTTATATTTTGTAGAGCAGCTTGTGTAGTCTAACCTTGGTTTACTGTTACTGCAGGTGCTGAATTATATATTTAAATTTAAAAATCTGGTTCACTTTACAACTTTCCAAAGGTTACGTGACCGTAGCAGAGTGCTGCAGTGTCTCAGTCGAACTAAGGACTAATCCTGCTCGATATTGATGACAATAGCAAATGCCTGTCAGTCCCCATGAGACGCTGTTAGGGCAGTGTCATGTGTCCACATGTTCCTGCTGGGCAGGGCAGTGGCCTTCTACCCTAGACACATTAAAAACTAGGCTATGTGAACCCTCTGAAAGTGTCAAGCAGCTAGAGCAGGGGAAAAGAGAAACCTTGTTTCATTATCTTATAAAAGGTAGTCACTAACACAGCATCAGTAACTTCAGTATTTTCTAAAACATGTAGTTTACCGAGATTACAAATTATTTCACAGCATACAAACTTTATGCTACGTAATGAAGGCTGAAGGAAAGTACTGGGTCACCTGCCCCAGATCTGACATCAGTTTTCCAAAGTTTCACTGTACATTGCTGATGCTGAACAGGTGCATTTTTACAGGCACAGTAGGAGCAAGGCTAATGCCCCATCTTGGCCTGTATGTAGGAGCAATCTAGTGGAGAGAGATTGAAGATGGCTTCAACTCTGATCTCCTTTATGGTAAACTTTGCAAAATACAACTGTTTTTTCTGAAGACCAGGTCAGTACTTGAGACATATCGTGCTTCTGGAGCTAACAAGGAAGTGAATAATAAGAATGTATTATTGTATGTAAGAGGAATAGAGGGGTTGGGGGAATGTTGCTAATGACCTCTTGAGTTCTGCATCATGGTGGAGTAGAGGCTGTTAATTACTGATTGCTATATGAACTGACTTATTGGAGAAGGATTGATCAGAATGTTCTGAATGGTGCGGGCTTGGATGTTAGCCAACCAACCCTTTCCCCTTTATGGTAATAGCTGAGGGGAAAATCGTTCTTTGCATATCTCAAACTAGTGAAACCTTACACAGAAGACTTCATACCAAAGCTCTCTACTGGACAAATCAAGGCGTCTCGTGAGCTCATGGGAGGGATTACATCGTACAACATTAAATTGGGTTTTGCATCTGCCAGGGCTATCTGTGCATTGTGCTGACCTGTGAAAACTCTACCAATGACTGGGACAAAGGTGTGGTCAGCCTACTGGAGACATGGAGAAGATGCAATGCGCAATTCTAATTGTCATGGCTCAAGATATGTACCTTTCAATTAAACATTGAAATGTGCTTAACTGAGTAACTTTTTCCCTGTTTGTTATGAAACATCCTAGTAGGAAGTCTCTGAAGTGACATATCTGAACAGTACCTGGTAAACTTCAAGGCAGGAGGTAAGAGATTATACAGAGTTTTTGAATTCATTTATATAACTTTTTTTAAGAGGTTGAGGCTGCATGGGAAAGGGTAGAGAACCAACAGGCAAAAATCAAGGTCCTTGATAAAAATTATTTCGACTTGGCCCATGATTACTCCAAATCCTTTGAGATGTAAGTAAGTGTCAAGATTGAGAAGACTGACTGAAGTAGCTTAGACTGGTCAAATTTTACTGCAGCCCTCTTCTGTTATTTATCTAACAGTACGTATCACCTATTTCTGTACATTGCAGTAAATACGAGGATGGTACTTGCTTAAGAGAATCTGGCACTCAGATTTCTAATCCCAAGATATGAATTTTTGCACTGATATGAGCATCCCAGTTTGACTAGGTAGAAGTTTAGCTATACATTTCTGTATGTATGAAAAATGCCAGGCAGCTATCCTCCCCTCATTTACATAGCAAAGTAGCGCTCTCACTGAGTGCACAGGATTACTTCCTGTAGAGTGGGTTGCCCTGGATACTGTGTCACATACCCTAATTTATGCATCTGTCAAATACGTGTTACTGTTTGCCAGTGACTGAATCCCAGTGAGACTGTTGTAAGATGGAACACAAACCACCATTTGTTGAAGCATAGATTAAGAACTGAGAAGATACTCATCAAGGAAAGTCATAGCATCAGTATCTTTTTATTTTCATCTAGACTTTTACAAAATTAGAGGTCTGTCTACTTAGAGTAGAAAATAAAGTAGTTAACCGAGTAGTTAAATTCTTTCCTCTTCAAACAGTTCGGAGCCATGATACCCAAATACATACCTCACAGTTGTCCTCTTTCCTTCACATCAGCCTCAGCCTTAGCTGTAGGATGTCTCTCATGCTACTTCATAAAGCAGAAAACATGGGAATGAAATTTACCTTGGAAAGTGCATGTAGAAAGTGTAAGTTTGTGCACTGAAATGTCAGCTACTGTTCATAACTTCTGTTATAAGCAAAAAGCACAGAAAACGGTCCTGTGCAAATCAACTGCAGTTACAAAAAAACCCAAACAAAACTATTTCACTGAATAGTACTTCAGCATTTTGATGCACCATTAACTTTTCTGTCTTCCCTGTGTTCAGTTACTTTTGCAGCGGTCTTGCTTATTTCTTACCTATACCATCCACCTTCTATACTAGGATAATGATAAAGATATGAAATTTCATAGCCATAAATCAACATTTGATACTGCAATACTTTCCTTTGTATAGTTAGGCAAGTTCTCTAAAACCCAACCACAGTGTATGGACTTATTTTCTGTTCTGTAAAGATGACATGGGTAGAAGGAACATACCTGATTCCTTAAGGAGTATTAACATTTCCTCATACAAGACGACAGCAGTGGATATTATTCCAGTGAAAGCATTCTTCCTCAACTGTTGCTTCATTTTTGCCATATGCCAGCTGAAATAATGATAAAATTTTAGAAAAACGGCTCAGCAGTATGATGAACATCTGCTGCCAACTTATCTTCTGTGAGACTTCTGCTTAGGAGTTAAGTATAGGCAGTAGTTCCGCTGTTCAGAATACAATTGGATTTGGGAATCACCTTTTCTTCCTGTGGTAGTCTGTTTGACACAGCCTTATCATGTATAATGCTGTGGCTGGAGGTCTCTCAACTGCATCCTTAACCACGAGTAGAAAATTCCTGATAAATAATTGGCACATGCAAAATATTCGATTGTGCAGCAGTTAAGTTTAAAATGGGGCTATTAAATTTAAAACTATCTACAAAAATTTACAGCTGCTCAGATATACTATCAACAACTTGTGCTATATGTCAGTAATGAACACATGCAAGATACTGTTTCCTATTTAGGGACTTCCTATTCCTTTCACAAGTCATTATATTCCCTTTCAAAATCTTAAATATTCATTCTGAAAGGCTATATGTTAACACATAAGATTACTTATATCCAGAGTTTCACCTGACCTTTCAGTTTTCTAGTATTGCTTACCTGGTAGCAAGTATTAATCATTAGTACTATATTTGACAGCACAGTGGATCATAAAACCTTATTTGAGGCAAGATGCAGTAATTTCTTTATTTAAGTCACACTTTTAGAATGACATTTATGAGTTCTCAGAGGACTGCTACAGAGGGAAAGTGTAACTGTAGTCATCCCAAAATCCTTCCTGTTGCAAGTTAAGAGAAAATATTAAATATCTTGCTTATAACATTTGTTCTTCACCAGTAAATAAGATATTCTTGCATAAAGAGAAGTGGTGAATTTATGACTGACTATTTTACTAAGGTGTTTTTTTAAAAAATCATCAAACCCAACACTGCTTAATGATGTTACTTCTTTATGTACACCTTCCTCTATAGTTTGTCCCTTAGTATTAGAAAGTTATTGCAGCTTATAAATCAGCTGGTAACAGTTTGTCTTCATTCTATTGGAAGAGATCTTCTTTCTCTTCACTGAAGTAATTACTTGACAACAATCTGTTGAAGAGATCATTGAAGTCTTCCCCAGTTACATGATTCCAGTCCTTAAGTCTGTAATTCCTCTCAAGAAGCACAGATAAACAGTTTACTTCTCAAGACTAGAAAAGTCTGGTCCTCCTTTGCTGTAATTTCCAGAAATTTCTGCTCCGCTGAAGTCAAATCCAGGGTTCTGATAGAGATAAAAGAAAAGTTTAATAGAGAGATTATTCGTAATCAAAATGTTTAAAAAAACCCAACCAACCAAGTCTAAAACAGTTTCTGTTAATATTCTGTCATTGTAACAAGGACATACAACAATCAACTTGTCATCCAAACAAACATATTCAGTAGAGCTCGACGTTAAAAGTTTCTTCTAAATATGACTATGACAATTCTAATTAATAACAGAAACTGTTTGCGGCCTACATTACGTGAAAATCTTAGTATTATGCAACAAACCCTAAAGCAGCAATACCCTTCTCCCAACCTCATCTTACCTTGTCACCAAACCGTCAGACTACAGACAGACTGATAAAGCCCTGTGAGCCTGCTATATATACATAGATCTGTACCTTAAACTATATGTTTCTGTGGCACTGGACAGCGGAACAATTTTGCTCAGCTTTCGTGGCCTATGCTCTGTGTGCAAACACAAAATATAAGGAGGAATTCTGGTTCCTTAACTTGCCTCTCTTTGGAATCGCTCCAGTGTAAGTTTCCTTTGCATCTGGTCCTGTACCCAAGGGTCAGCAGCATATTCGTTTTCTAACAGAGACGTCCAACAATTTCCAGCATCTCGATTTGTCTTCATTAGAACAATTCGTATCAGCTTCCTGTCTTCTGTTGAATGCAAACAGACGCACAAAACAACCATTAAACTCAGTCCTACGTGCTAGGCTTTTTTGTTGTTTCAATGAATTCACCATTAACAACCACAGGATCTTTTTGGTGAAGTAATTTAAATTCTTAAAACCAATGCCAACAGGGTTATTGATAAATAAATAAACAAACATTAACAAGAAACAGAAAGGCTGAAGCAAAGACAGCCAATATGGCCATCTCCCCCCTTTCTAGCCTGTAAAATGCTAAAGCTGTTTTAAGGGATTAAAACACAGTTCACAAGTACTTCTATTGCAAACATAAACTAACCTTTTAGAGAGCTTCATAACAGAGCAAAGATTTAATCTATACGTATGTATGTATCTCAGCTAAGGCAATAATGAAGGATTTGAGGTCAGGCTTTACAGAGAGTTATTACCAATAAAAACCAGAACTAAATTTTAGCAACATATAGAGATCTAATTTAAACATAGACAGTACACTTATAGACAATATATTGGAAATACATGTCAACATTAACATGTAGAATGTTTAGTTCTACTTAAATAAATACAGCATTATAAAGTGTATTATGAAGATTATTCCCATACTGGAAAGAGTAGGCTTCATAATGTTTATGCTTCTAGTTTTTTGTGTTTAAGTCACAAAGTCATTAATCAATATTTAGAATAAATATTGAATGGAAAACAAAATCCATCACAGGAAAACACTGAGAGGCAGTCTCTTTTTTGACTGCCAAAACCCAAAATATTTTGAACACTTCACAATATGTATTATGCAGCCATCTGAGAAGCTTTTTTTGCTCATTTTCTGTAGGTGCCTCAGTGTGATTTTAGATTGCTTTTTGTTTCTTTTGGACGGTAGGTTTTGTGACCCATCTCAAAAATATAATGCATATAGTGTCACCTATTGCAAAAATAGAATGCATAGAAGAAGGAGAAAAAAAAACCAAGAGAAGCAGCAATTATGGAGAGGCGCAGGCCACACAACTGTACCATAACTGTCTAGCTTTGATGAGGGTTTGCAAAAACTATATGGAAGTGTTTGTAATCCACTGATTATGGACTTCCAAGATATGGCATTTTTCCATTAACCTTAACCTCTAGGGCTTTTATGCTCCCTCAGTTCCTTGGTCTGGCAATAACGATTGTCTCTTTTACAAAGCTATATACAAGGAAAAAATAATATTTCCCATTGAAAAAAGGGGTGTGTATGTGTGTAAACTCTTCTGCAGCATCTTGTGATAAGTTCTACTCTCCTGATAACGTCATTTGAAATGCAGGTTATTACCTAATGTCCATGTTCCTTCATCAGTTATTGTGGAGTCGAAAAGTTTACCCTGCAAAAGACACGCACAATATTACAAACCAGGAAAACCTGACCGGTATCCAGCTCACAGTGAATTGTGAAGTATCGATTTATCAAAATCTAGCTGTTTAAAGAAGGGAGGAAAGGGGGGAAAAGCCACCAAAGGGCAGACGGGTACTTGTAACCCCCTCGGGAGCTAGCGAAGTGCCCCCCCCGCCCCCCGGCCCGGCCCGGCCCGGCCCGTACCTGCAGCAGCTCCTGGCCGCTGACGGAGAGCGCGATGTGCCGACTCTGCAGGCTGCAGCGGACGTCCTTGGCTCGGGTGCCCGGCGGCACCCGCACCTCGATGAACACTTCCTCCAAGGTCTGGTACCAGCGGCCCCAGGGCGTCCCGCAGGGCACCACCCCGCTCCGCTCCTCGAAGGGAGCCGACATGGGAGACGGCGGCCCCGCACCGCACCGCAGCACACCGCCCCCCGGCCCGGCCCGGCCCGGCCCGTACCTGCAGCAGCTCCTGGCCGCTGACGGAGAGCGCGATGTGCCGACTCTGCAGGCTGCAGCGGACGTCCTTGGCTCGGGTGCCCGGCGGCACCCGCACCTCGATGAACACTTCCTCCAAGGTCTGGTACCAGCGGCCCCAGGGCGTCCCGCAGGGCACCACCCCGCTCCGCTCCTCGAAGGGAGCCGACATGGGAGACGGCGGCCCCGCACCGCACCGCAGCACCGCCCTGCGCATGCGCGCGGCACGGAGGCGGTGGCCCGCCCGGTGCGCCTGCTCCGTGACCGCGGCGCTGATTGGCCGAGCGAGCCTGGAACGGGAGGAGATGATTGGCTGCCCCTGGTGCGTGGCGGCAGCCGTTGGTGCCTTTGAACGCTGAGGCGGCCCTGCTGCGGCGGGTTCTCTCTGTCATGGCGTTCTCCAGAGCTCCGCTCCGCCGCTTCAACCACAGCTCCGGTACGTGTGGCGCGGCCTCCCGGCCTCGGGTGGTGGGAGACAGGGAGGAAGAGAGAGAAAGGGCGGGCGGGAGGGAGGGAGCCAGCCAGCCAGCCAGCCAGCCAGTCAGTCAGTCAGTCAGTCAGTCCGTCCGGGCCCGGTCGTGCCTGAGGGAAGAGGGAGAGGCCCGCCGTTACCTCAGCGTGTCCCAGCGCCTCTGCCTGTGCTCCCCCTGTGAGGGGAGTTGCCGGTAACGCCATGTAAGGACCGCGTAGCTGAGGGCTTGTAGGAGTCTCCTGAGGAAGAGAAATTCCCGTGTCAGGTCGAATCCTGGTCGGAGGAAAACGGCTACTAAATATAGCAGTGAGCACATCTGTGTATGTACACGCTGTGTAGTAAATAAAACAGTGACAAATCAGGTTTTGCTAGCCTCCTGGTATAATGATACAAAACTACAAAAGAAACATACAGAAATAGTTATAAGGGAAGCTACTCAGGGCATTTTCTAAAGTAAAAGCTTCTCACGATAAGCTTTTGGCCGTAGCTGGGTTCTTCTCTACTACTGTTACTTCTCTGCTATTGAAGTTGATGCCGCGTAGCTGAGGGCTTGTAGGAGTCTCCTGAGGAAGAGAAATTCCCGTGTCAGGTCGAATCCTGGTCGGAGGAAAACGGCTACTAAATATAGCAGTGAGCACATCTGTGTATGTACACGCTGTGTAGTAAATAAAACAGTGACAAATCAGGTTTTGCTAGCCTCCTGGTATAATGATACAAAACTACAAAAGAAACATACAGAAATAGTTATAAGGGAAGCTACTCAGGGCATTTTCTAAAGTAAAAGCTTCTCACGATAAGCTTTTGGCCGTAGCTGGGTTCTTCTCTACTACTGTTACTTCTCTGCTATTGAAGTTGATCTCATCTGCAGAAAGCTGAAGCAAGTAGATAAGCTTTTATTAGGCTTGAGACTGCCTGGCTAACAGCAATTGTATGTAGAATTTGTAGGCATTTTGTGTTCTCTGCTGTTTCTCTTAAAGTCAATTGTTTAAAAAACTTTGGTTTTTGATCTCATCTGCAGAAAGCTGAAGCAAGTAGATAAGCTTTTATTAGGCTTGAGACTGCCTGGCTAACAGCAATTGTATGTAGAATTTGTAGGCATTTTGTGTTCTCTGCTGTTTCTCTTAAAGTCAATTGTTTAAAAAACTTTGGTTTTTTTTAAATCAAAGTTTAAGTAACTTAGTTCTTTGGAGGATAAGTTTGGCATTCAATAACTAGTCTCTTCTAAACTGGAAGAAGATGTTTTTAAAGAAGTTGGCTTTTTATCCTTTAACATTTTAGACTTAGACAGGCTTTTTCACTAACTAGCATTAAGATTCTCTAACCGTCTTTAAATCAAAGTTTAAGTAACTTAGTTCTTTGGAGGAAAAGTTTGGCATTCAATAACTAGTCTCTTCTAAACTGGAAGAAGATGTTTTTAAAGAAGTTGGCTTTTTATCCTTTAACATTTTAGACAGGCTTTTTCACTAATTAGCATTAAGATTCTCTAACCATTTGGGTTTTTTCTTTATGGAAGTTAATGCATGGTTATGGCTATTAAGATGCTCTGTAATATTGTATATGTAAATCAGTTTCTACTTTTATTAGCAGTGTAATAAAAGAATCCTTCCCCCCATGCGTGCTGTATATTTTCTTAACATTTATGTAGAGATTGAGAACTGAGACTCAAATTGTTGGTTGTTTGGGTTGGGGTTTTTTTTCTTGCTTACCTTAATTGTTCTCTGCTTTTCTGAAAATCTCATTTCTAGTATGTACCCCACTGCAAGAAACCTGTGATATTAGATCTTCAGATGCACTGAAAAGTTCTCTGTCCTCTGAAACACACCAACGGATTAGGAAACAGAAGAGTAAGTAGTCTTAAAAGTTGCACAGAACACAATGGCATAGTATCTTTGAATGCTACAATTGTTAGTGCTTACATACTGTTACTATTCTGTTCTTGCTTAGAAACTGTTTTGTGTTGCAGAGGCTGCCTACTTTGAATGCTACAATTGTTAGTGCTTACATGCTGTTACTATTCTGTTTTTGCTTAGAAAATGTTATGTGTTGCAGAGGCTCTCTGCCTGCCTTCTAGCTCAAGGGGATAGCAGCTGTAAAACCATGCCTAACAATCTTCTGAAAGTAGCTTTATATGTGATTTCCCTAGTTAGGTTGACCTCTGGAAATCAAATAAATTATTTAACTATTTCACTAACCTTGTTTTCATGGATATTTTCATGGGTTTTTCAGATATAACACATCCCTCAGTTGAAAACTGACAGCACAGATCTGAATGGTGGGGGGGGGGAAATTGGCAGAAGCTGAATTCCCAAAACAGACTGTCATCTGGTAGTCTTTCTCTAAACTCTTGCAGGTGACTAATATTGAACTGCATGACTGTAATGAGAAAGCAGCTGGTATTGAGTTGTAAAGTGGATTGTCTAGTAATCAGGTGGCATTCTGTTTTTTGTTTAAAAAGCTGATTGAGCTTGTGTGGTTTAATTTCTCTCACCATATATGTGCACACCCTCTTCCTTCACCATTCTTTTCACTATCCTTCAGGTGAGACAAATTTGAGCAGTGAGAAGAGTGTACTTACCCCTGTAACTGGAAGGAGACTTGCATCTCTCGGAGCAACAGTAAGACTCTTCTGTGGTGTCTGTAGCACTATTAAATTCCAGTTAAAGCCCATTGTGACTAGTTAAATCATGTAACCCCTTTATACAGTTCCTATTAACTTACCTGAGTAAACTATGAAACACATTATTGTGTCTGTATTCTGTGGTAACTCAGAAGGAAAAATGAAATTTCAGGGTCTTTATGAATGGTGTGATTGGGACAGAGTCTTTTGTATTACAATGTTGGGGTGTTTTGCCTCTTGCTCACCATATAATTAGGGTGCAGCTGCTTCTTTTTAAGGAGATCGTGTTTCTGCTTTCATACAGTGGATGGGGCAGAGCAGAAACCTAGTGGTAAAAGAAACAAAGAGAGGATGATACTGTATATACAGGTTCTCAGTGCAATGTGTGAGGACACAGATTTGAAGATGCATAGCTGATCCAGTTGAAAAATTATAATCCTGACTTAATAATTCAGTTTACTAATACTCCTGTGTAAGATGTCCTGTTGTAGGATGAAATCTTGCAAACAAACCTGAGGTTAAGAGATTAAAGTGGGTTTTTTTGTAGAGTTATGGGGATGCTAATGTGTCAAAGCTTCTTAATTTCCTTCCTGTAACAATGGTAATGAACTCTCCATTCAGAATAAAGCTTAGAAGAAAGTACAGTAGTAAAACCTATCCTACCCTGATACACGTCTGGGTTGTGTGTGGGAGAAAGGCGTTGGCTTTGGATTTTGTATGTGTATCTTTAATAGTATTGTCTACATGAAGGCATTCACTCTTATATTTGACTGTGTTGTTAAATCAGTATCCAGCTAGAAATCAGCTCAAATATTCTTAATAAATCTGTTTTCAAAAGCCAGCTAACGGGACTCTGAAGCCTAAAAAAGATTTTATCCTTATGAAAGAGAAAAAGAAACAGAAGGCACTGGAGAAGGAGGTATGTGAGTGCAATCCTGTAGTACGTTTCCCACTTACTGTAATTAAAAATACAAGCTCATAAAATTAGCCTGGTTTACGTAACATATCCTACAAGTAGTTTGCAAACAGCTCTATGTAGAGCAGAGATTATCAAATGTTGTGGTATGTAGAAAACATTTGGTTTGTTAATGGAATTGCATGAATTCCTACTTATCGTGAACAGCTATGCAACCAGTCTTTTCTCTTTAAAAACAAAAAAGAGCCAAGTCCTGTGTTCTCAGCTCCCAAAAGGCTCTGTTTCATTTAACAACTGTTTGCTAAGATTTTTGCCTAGTTTAAATAATTTGAAAGTTTATGAGGCAGCTACCATTTCTTTATCAGTACGTTTCTCTGACCTAATCTATGCCTTGTGTCTCAAATGTCACATTTTGTCTTTCCATTCCACAGCCAGAGGAGAGTTGGCTTCTCTTGCAAGTTGAAGCTAAGACTGTTATAACTTTAATGTGTTGTACTGGCTCAGTAGCACAAAACTCAGATGAAATGCTAGGACTGCAAATCTGCAGTGTGTAATAATAAATGTTTTTGGTGATAGTGTTACATCCTTTCCTGTGAATGAAGATTAAAGATGTGTATTCTGAATGAAAGTTAATACAGTTTGGATACTTAACCTCTTCAAGGAAAAATAACAGGCATAAATTAGTGCTGGTATTTAAGAAGAACAATGGTAGGAAATAAAGAAAATGCCTCTTTTGTTGTAGATCCGTGCATTAGTGAGAGAGCGTGGAGAGCAGGATAAAAAACTTAAGGCTCTGGATGAGGATTTTGTTAAGACCGAAGCAAAGCTGAGTGCTGCCGTTCAGGAGAAAACATCTCTCCTGGCAAACATTGCATGCCTGAAAAAACAGCTTCTGGAGCTAACAAGAGCTAATGAACTACTGAAATCAAAGGTATTCAGACAAATAACCATGTATTTGCTTTGACTTTGCTGCTATTAAGCTTCCTGTGCAAAAGGAAACTCTAGTTGCTGATCAGCATCCCTGTGGCTCTTCATTGCCATAGGGATAGAGCAAGTCTGTTTTGGGATCTTATGCTCTTCTGTCTAAAGAGAGAGTGGGACCTGCTAACATCTGTCTCAAGGATGGGTAGAGACCAGTGCTGTGGGTGGGAGGGGATACTTTTAAAAGATTGTGTGAAGAGTAACTCATATGAAGAAGCTAAGCTTGGTGGTTTTTTCTTAATCTCTAATAAGCTGTCTGAAGATGGTGTGCAGAAGAAAATGAGCAGCCTATGCATGGAGTTAATGAAGCTCAGAAACAAGAGGGATGCTAAGGAAAAGGTATGACCATTTGCACTGCTCAGGGTAGTAATTCTGAGCTGCTCAGGAGCAGATAATGAAGGGCTTAAAACAGAAATACAGATGGTGTGTTGTTCTGTCCTCAACTGGGTAGATTTTTCTGTTTTTTGTAGAGTGAAAATAGAGAAACAAAGAAAGATCAAACAATGAGTGTTCTTGATTTTGCTGTTGATTTTGCTGTAAATCTGAGTTAACATAAGGAAGCCTAGAAATACCTTTATAACAACATCAATCTGTTGGTCAGATTATTAGTTTCTTTGAAAGCCAGTATAGTTTGAAGCTCGTATACATGTTTGCATTTCTTGGAGGGTGGTGTTTGTTTTTGTTTTAACAAAGGGCAGATAACTTTACAGAAGCATACTTTGAATCACATTTAGCATACTAGCAAAATCTCTCACTAAATTATAGTTATGAATTAATTTCAGTTTACCACTGTCTCTTAGACGATTGACTTAGATACTTCGTAAAAAATTCTTTTTGGAGGTAATATTTGGTTGTTTTTTTTTTTTAAGACTGCACTTGCAAAGCAGGAAGATATGGAAATGAAGCTGCAGGAGGTGCAACGGAATCTAGAGCATTCAAAAGGAAAAGTAGCACAGTTAGAAGAAAAACTGTAAGTAGTACGGAAAGGAATTGACTTAGATGACACTACATCATCTAGCTGTGCCTGCCTGCTTATACCTTTTAATAAGCACATAGTTTAGGGAAAAATGCAGGCTGTCTCCTTCCTGAGTAGGAACAGAAATTATTAGTATTTGTGACCTGGAACAAATTTGATGGATGAAGTTTTAGGAACTGCTGTATTGCTATAAAATGAACGTACTAGACAAACATATTTTGTATCTAACCTTCTTGCAAGAGACAAACCATATCATCTCAACCCTTTGTATTCCAGTGTGATATGTGTGTAGTTCTCTTGGGTAATGGGGTGGAGAAGGAAGATACATATCTTAAAAGATTTGAATTTAAGTAGATCCATCATGAAAAATCTCCTGGTTTTAGGTCTGCTACTGAGAGAGAGAAAGTTGAAGAAAAGTCTGACACTGAAAAACTCCTGGAATATATCACAGAGCTCAGGTAACAACAGATTGTTCATCCCGGCCTCGGGTGGTGGGAGATAGGGACGGAGGGAGCGAGCGAGAGAGGGAAGGAGCGAGCGAGAGAGGGAAGGAGCGAGCGAGAGAGGGAAGGAGCGAGCGAGAGAGGGAAGGAGCGAGCGAGCGAGCGAGCCAGTCCGCCCGCCCGCCCGCCCAGGCCCGGCCCTTCATGGTCGTGCCTGAGGGAAGGGGGACAGGCCCGCCGTTACCTCAGCGTGTCCCAGCACCTCTGCCTGTGCTCCCCCTGTGAGGGGAGTTGCCGGTAACACCGTGTGAGGGCCGCGTAGCTGAGGGCTTGTAGGAGTCTCCTGAGGAAGAGAAATTCCCGTGTCAGGTCGAATCCTGGTCGGAGGAAAACGGCCACTAAATATAGCAGTGAGCACATCTGTGTATGTACACGCTGTGTAGTAAATAAAACAGTGACAAATCAGGTTTTGCTAGCCTCCTGGTATAATGATACAAAACTACAAAAGAAACATACAGAAATAGTTATAAGGGAAGCTACTCAGGGCATTTTCTAAAGTAAAAGCTTCTCACGATAAGCTTTTGGCCGTAGCTGGGTTCTTCTCTACTACTGTTACTTCTCTGCTATTGAAGTTGATCTCATCTGCAGAAAGCTGAAGCAAGTAGATAAGCTTTTATTAGGCTTGAGACTGCCTGGCTAACAGCAATTGTATGTAGAATTTGTAGGCATTTTGTGTTCTCTGCTGTTTCTCTTAAAGTCAATTGTTTAAAAAACTTTGGTTTTTTTTAAATCAAAGTTTAAGTAACTTAGTTCTTTGGAGGATAAGTTTGGCATTCAATAACTAGTCTCTTCTAAACTGGAAGAAGATTTTTTTTAAGAAGTTGGCTTTTTATCCTTTAACATTTTAGACTTAGACAGGCTTTTTCACTAACTAGCATTAAGATTCTCTAACCGTTTGGGTTTTTTCTTTATGGAAGTTAATGCATGGCTATGGCTATTAAGATGCTCTGCAATATTGTATATGCAAATCAGTTTCTACTTTTATTAGGAGTGTAATAAAAGAATCCTTCCCCCCATGCGTGCTGTATATTTTCTTAACATTTATGTAGAGATTGAGAACTGAGACTCAAATTGTTGGTTGTTTGGGTTGGGGTTTTTTTTCTTGCTTACCTTAATTGTTCTCTGCTTTTCTGAAAATCTCATTTCTAGTATGTACCCCACTGCAAGAAACCTGTGATATTAGATCTTCAGATGCACTGAAAAGTTCTCTGTCCTCTGAAACACACCAACGGATTAGGAAACAGAAGAGTAAGTAGTCTTAAAAGTTGCACAGAACACAATGGCATAGTATCTTTGAATGCTACAATTGTTAGTGCTTACATGCTGTTACTATTCTGTTTTTGCTTAGAAAATGTTATGTGTTGCAGAGGCTCTCTGCCTGCCTTCTAGCTCAAGGGGATAGCAGCTGTAAAACCATGCCTAACGATCTTCTGAAAGTAGCTTTATATGTGTCTTTGCTAATTAGGTTGACCTCTGGAAATCAAATAAATTATTTAACTATTTCACTAACCTTGTTTTCATGGATATTTTCATGGGTTTTTCAGATATAACACATCCCTCAGTTGAAAACTGACAGCACAGATCTGAATGGTGGGGGGGGGGAAATTGGCAGAAGCTGAATTCCCAAAACAGACTGTCATCTGGTAGTCTTTCTCTAAACTCTTGCAGGTGACTAATATTGAACTGCATGACTGTAATGAGAAAGCAGCTGGTATTGAGTTGTAAAGTGGATTGTCTAGTAATCAGGTGGCATTCTGTTTTTTGTTTAAAAAGCTGATTGAGCTTGTGTGGTTTAATTTCTCTCACCATATATGTGCACACCCTCTTCCTTCACCATTCTTTTCACTATCCTTCAGGTGAGACAAATTTGAGCAGTGAGAAGAGTGTACTTACCCCTGTAACTGGAAGGAGACTTGCATCTCTCGGAGCAACAGTAAGACTCTTCTGTGGTGTCTGTAGCACTATTAAATTCCAGTTAAAGCCCGTTGTGACTAGTTAAATTATGTAGCCCCTTTATACAGTTCCTATTAACTTACCTGAGTAAATTATAAAACACATTATTGTGTCTGTATTCCTTGGTAATCCAGAAGGAAAAATGAAATTGCAGGGTCTTTGTGAATGGTGTGATGGGGACTACAGAGTCTTTCGTATTGCTGTGTTGGGGTGTTTTGCCTCTTGCTCACCATATAATTAGGGTGCAGCTGCTTCTTTTTAAGGAGATTGTGTTTCTGCTTTCATACAGTGGATGGGGCAGAGCAGAAACCTAGTGGTAAAAGAAACAAAGAGAGAATGATACTCTATATACAGGTTCTCAGCGCAATGTGTGAGGACGCAGCTTTGAACATGCATAGCTGATCCAGTAGAAAAATTATAATCCTGACTTAATAATTTAGTTTACTAATACTCCTGTGTAGGATGTCCTGTTGTAGGATGAAATCTTGCAAACAAACCTGAGGTTAAGAGATTAAAGTGGGTTTTTTTGTAGAGTTATGGGGATGCTAATGTGTCAAAGCTTCTTAATTTCCTTCCTGTAACAATGGTAATGAACTCTCCATTCAGAATAAAGCTTAGAAGAAAGTACAGTAGTAAAACCTATCCTACCCTGATACACGTCTGGGTTGTGTGTGGGAGAAAGGCGTTGGCTTTGGATTTTGTATGTGTATCTTTAATAGTATTGTCTACATGAAGGCATTCACTCTTATATTTGACTGTGTTGTTAAATCAGTATCCAGCTAGAAATCAGCTCAAATATTCTTAATAAATCTGTTTTCAAAAGCCAGCTAACGGGACTCTGAAGCCTAAAAAAGATTTTATCCTTATGAAAGAGAAAAAGAAACAGAAGGCACTGGAGAAGGAGGTATGTGAGTGCAATCCTGTAGTACGTTTCCCACTTACTGTAATTAAAAATACAAGCTCATAAAATTAGCCTGGTTTACGTAACATATCCTACAAGTAGTTTGCAAACAGCTCTATGTAGAGCAGAGATTATCAAATGTTGTGGTATGTAGAAAACATTTGGTTTGTTAATGGAATTGCATGAATTCCTACTTATCGTGAACAGCTATGCAACCAGTCTTTTCTCTTTAAAAACAAAAAAGAGCCAAGTCCTGTGTTCTCAGCTCCCAAAAGGCTCTGTTTCATTTAACAACTGTTTGCTAAGATTTTTGCCTAGTTTAAATAATTTGAAAGTTTATGAGGCAGCTACCATTTCTTTATCAGTACGTTTCTCTGACCTAATCTATGCCTTGTGTCTCAAATGTCACATTTTGTCTTTCCATTCCACAGCCAGAGGAGAGTTGGCTTCTCTTGCAAGTTGAAGCTAAGACTGTTATAACTTTAATGTGTTGTACTGGCTCAGTAGCACAAAACTCAGATGAAATGCTAGGACTGCAAATCTGCAGTGTGTAATAATAAATGTTTTTGGTGATAGTGTTACATCCTTTCCTGTGAATGAAGATTAAAGATGTGTATTCTGAATGAAAGTTAATACAGTTTGGATACTTAACCTCTTCAAGGAAAAATAACAGGCATAAATTAGTGCTGGTATTTAAGAAGAACAATGGTAGGAAATAAAGAAAATGCCTCTTTTGTTGTAGATCCGTGCATTAGTGAGAGAGCGTGGAGAGCAGGATAAAAAACTTAAGGCTCTGGATGAGGATTTTGTTAAGACCGAAGCAAAGCTGAGTGCTGCCGTTCAGGAGAAAACATCTCTCCTGGCAAACATTGCATGCCTGAAAAAACAGCTTCTGGAGCTAACAAGAGCTAATGAACTACTGAAATCAAAGGTATTCAGACAAATAACCATGTATTTGCTTTGACTTTGCTGCTATTAAGCTTCCTGTGCAAAAGGAAACTCTAGTTGCTGATCAGCATCCCTGTGGCTCTTCATTGCCATAGGGATAGAGCAAGTCTGTTTTGGGATCTTATGCTCTTCTGTCTAAAGAGAGAGTGGGACCTGCTAACATCTGTCTCAAGGATGGGTAGAGACCAGTGCTGTGGGTGGGAGGGGATACTTTTAAAAGATTGTGTGAAGAGTAACTCATATGAAGAAGCTAAGCTTGGTGGTTTTTTCTTAATCTCTAATAAGCTGTCTGAAGATGGTGTGCAGAAGAAAATGAGCAGCCTATGCATGGAGTTAATGAAGCTCAGAAACAAGAGGGATGCTAAGGAAAAGGTATGACCATTTGCACTGCTCAGGGTAGTAATTCTGAGCTGCTCAGGAGCAGATAATGAAGGGCTTAAAACAGAAATACAGATGGTGTGTTGTTCTGTCCTCAACTGGGTAGATTTTTCTGTTTTTTGTAGAGTGAAAATAGAGAAACAAAGAAAGATCAAACAATGAGTGTTCTTGATTTTGCTGTTGATTTTGCTGTAAATCTGAGTTAACATAAGGAAGCCTAGAAATACCTTTATAACAACATCAATCTGTTGGTCAGATTATTAGTTTCTTTGAAAGCCAGTATAGTTTGAAGCTCGTATACATGTTTGCATTTCTTGGAGGGTGGTGTTTGTTTTTGTTTTAACAAAGGGCAGATAACTTTACAGAAGCATACTTTGAATCACATTTAGCATACTAGCAAAATCTCTCACTAAATTATAGTTATGAATTAATTTCAGTTTACCACTGTCTCTTAGACGATTGACTTAGATACTTCGTAAAAAATTCTTTTTGGAGGTAATATTTGGTTGTTTTTTTTTTTTAAGACTGCACTTGCAAAGCAGGAAGATATGGAAATGAAGCTGCAGGAGGTGCAACGGAATCTAGAGCATTCAAAAGGAAAAGTAGCACAGTTAGAAGAAAAACTGTAAGTAGTACGGAAAGGAATTGACTTAGATGACACTACATCATCTAGCTGTGCCTGCCTGCTTATACCTTTTAATAAGCACATAGTTTAGGGAAAAATGCAGGCTGTCTCCTTCCTGAGTAGGAACAGAAATTATTAGTATTTGTGACCTGGAACAAATTTGATGGATGAAGTTTTAGGAACTGCTGTATTGCTATAAAATGAACGTACTAGACAAACATATTTTGTATCTAACCTTCTTGCAAGAGACAAACCATATCATCTCAACCCTTTGTATTCCAGTGTGATATGTGTGTAGTTCTCTTGGGTAATGGGGTGGAGAAGGAAGATACATATCTTAAAAGATTTGAATTTAAGTAGATCCATCATGAAAAATCTCCTGGTTTTAGGTCTGCTACTGAGAGAGAGAAAGTTGAAGAAAAGTCTGACACTGAAAAACTCCTGGAATATATCACAGAGCTCAGGTAACAACAGATTGTTCATGAGTTGGATTCATAAGTCAAAAGATGGTAAAAGACAGCCTTGCTTATGACTGGTTAAGTAGAACCTTGGCAACAACTCTGTTTAACAGTATTGAAATAGAGGGGGGGTAAAAATCAGGTATTTTGCAAAAACTTGTCTGGAAAAGTAGAAGGCAGTTTTCCTGTTGGAAACCAACACTCCTAAGTGTTTTTGTTTTCTGTAAGCTTACAAAATTTAACAGATGCCTGAATTTTTTCCTACAGTAGTGTTGCAGAAACAGTTGAGAAATACAAACTGGATGTTGCCCAGATGGAGGAGACAGTGATAAAGAAAGACCAAGATATTGGGGTCCTGAAGGATACCCTCAAAACAAGAGAGGAAGAATCTTTTAAACTGATAAAAGAACTTAATGAAAGGTGTGACTTGCTTCAACAAGAAAAAGGTAGTTGTTAGTGCTTGGATGCTGTTCACGTGTGTGGGATCTCTGACATAGAATTATAGAGCTGTTAGAGTTAGAAGGGACACTTAACATGTCTTAAGACATCTCAGATAAGTTTGTTTTAAAATGTCAATTTAGACCAGTTCGTTCCAAGTTAAAAGTCGTGTCTCTGAGCTGCAGCTGAAACCATGTAGTCATATTTCCAACAATACAGAAACTACCTTGGATCTGACATTTGTTAAGTCTAAATTTGTATTTCCATGGAGGGTTAGTAAGGTAAATAAAACAGAAATGAAATTGTTTCCATAGTAGGAATGGCTTTATTCTGTAAGCTGAACACATGGTGTTCCTTACTCTTCACTGAGAAGCTGTACAATATCGTCTCAATCCACTGTTAGCAGCTGGTGCACAAGTTCATTGAGATACTGTTAATGTGTGTAGGAATCCTTCACCAGTGACTCTGAAGCCTGAGACTGGTGCTCAGTTCTCTGTCTGCTAGTTGGCTTGTGTGTGCTAATACTATGTGGAAGAAGCTTTGGGGAAATCATTTAGTTTGTTTTCCACAGCCACACTGCTGTTTTGATGAAGGCTAATGACTTGATCCAAAGATTCTTGCAGTTTAAAATTATTTTTTAAGTTGTGTACTTTGAGCCAGTTTTGAGGAGTTTTCCAGATGGGTTAAAAATGTAGTTTGGATTTATTTCCACCCTTGCCTAATTAATTTTAAAACTAGAATGGAAGTACTATGAGGAATAGATGTTGTAGTTCTTTGAAGATAGAGAAGGGAATTTATGTTATATTGGCAATTCCCCTATGCAGAGAAAGAGTTGTCTGAGAGCAGAGAGAAACTCCTGAGTATGAATGCTGAAATAGAAGACCTGAAAAAAAAAATTGTCTTAAAAGAACAAGAACACCAAAAACTTCTTCAGAAACATGAGGAGGTGGTCTCTCAGCTGCAACAAGAGAAGGTAAATACACACTGAGAATTAGTCTGAAAGTAGACTCTAATCCCAATGACTGGCACTAAAGGTTCTGGTTTTGGTTATACATGAGATTGCTGTGTTGTTGAGGGTCTTATCTCAGGAATGTACAAGTGGGTGCTGGCACGCAGAAACTCTGTGGTTCAATATCTTGAAGAATCATAGCTGGTATGATGGGTGTTTTGGTTCTTCCTGTTGACCTTATTCTCATGCTTTAAAGTTTAAACACTGCAAATTAGACTTCAATATCTAGAAAACTACTGGTAGTTATAAAATCTGTGATACTCTGGCGTGCAGGAGTCATCTGCATCAATGCACCAGAAGTTACTGGAGTTCCAAGATGAGGTAACAAGTGAGAGACACCTTCTTGAAGAAGAGCTGAATGATGTAACGAATGAGCTGAATAAATTACATGCTAAGGAGAAGAAAGCTGAGAAGTTGGTGAAGCGGTTGGAACAAGAAATCAAATCTCAAGCTCTTGAACTTGCACAGATGGAAGTAAAGTTGAAAGGGTTTGTGAAATAGCTTTCTGATTCTAAAGCTTTGGAAGGAAAAATGTTATGTCATGAGCATAAAAAAGCTTTGGAGCCTAATTTGGGTTTTAAAGAGACCTGAACAGGTCTAAATTTTTCTTGCTGGCCATCACTTGATAGTGATTACACCTAATCTAGCTGAGTGACTTGAATCAGTTTGCTACTGTCTTAAAGCTGTTTAATTAGTGTGCTTGTACTTGCTTGAGATGCCAGTACTAAAATAAAATGACATTGCTGTGAAGGGGAGGGTACATGCATGTGGTATTGGATGTTTCTGCCCTGGGCAGGGCAATGACTAGCAAAGACTTTAAAGCAAGTTGTTTCTTCCTTTCACATATTACAAGTTTACTATTAGGTATTCAATCTATTCTATAGATATCTTGGAAAATAAGGGGAGGGGGAAATGCTTCATTAAATCTGCTATGAAGATATGCTTTAATACATGAGAAACTGTGGCAGAGAAGTTACTGGTTTGTCACAACTAACTTATTGCTGCCACTGTGAGCCTTCTATAGCTGATAACAGCTTTTGCTAATGTGTTCAGACGTGCTTACCCCCAGCATGGAATGCTGAATTTTTATTTCAGGAAGAATGCCGAGTTGGAGCAAATCAATGACAAGCACAGCAATGCTGTTTCGCAAATCCAAGAAGAACATAGGAATACATTGCATAAACTTGGAGAGACTGTTGATGAGTTTGAAAGGTATTTAACTTTAATTAAGACCTAGGATGTGGACTCTATGTGAGCATTGGTACAGCATTAGAGCAGAGGATTTTGTGGTGGAGTATTTGATGGCATTAAAACATTAATTTATTCCTTTGGAGTACTAGTCAAGTGTAACGACATAATCAGTATCTAGTTCAGAAAACTGGGTGTTTCGTCTTCCGAAGTATAACCAATCAGAATGCTCAAGTGCTCTTGAATCTCAATGAGAGTTGTAACTGGTAATGGTGTTCTCTTTGCACTAAAATCTGTTGCGAAAAAGGCTTTTTGTTTAGGCTCTAAAATGTACCAAATTGAGATGATTTTTCTACAGTTCTTGCAGATCTTTACTCTCAAAATAATCAAGTTGTGGAAATTCTTAAAAAACGATACTGTTACTGAGAAGTATGCAAGGCAGCCATGAAGGATCCAGTGGGATATTTGCCAATGCAAGCTGTATTAGTGGGTCTTTAAGTGTTGAAAGTGAGCTTCAGATGTAGTAGGTCTCTTGTATTTGAAAAAATCTACCAAAATGTGAAAAAATCTGTATTGCAGAATTTGTCATAATGTTACTGCTTATGGCTTTAGAGAAAAGTTTGTGTGTTTGTTGGGTTTTTTTAAATTGTGGTTTTTTTCCAGTGCCAGAACACTGTTACATCTCCAGATAACAAAACCTCTTTTCTATTTGTTAGAATGAGCTTGTATTGCCTTTGTAATGCCTGAACAGTTCAATCTGTATTTTTTCCAAAGTAACAAGATTTTTATTTGCATTGGAATACTAGCTACAAGAAAACAACAGCTGAAGAAATATGCAGTCTTAAGCTGGAGAACACCTCTCTGCAAGAAGAAGTTGCCAACCTAAAAAAAACAGGCCAAGATAACCTGCAGCTGCTTCAGGAAGCAGAACATGCTAAAAACAAAGCAGAAGATGAATGTGCAAGGTACAAGATAGACAAGCTTTTCCTTAAGCTAAAGCACACCAGCTAAGGCCTGCCTTCTGAGCTAGAACTTAACATGCTGCTCTACCAAATGAATTCAGTATTTGGCTTAAGTTTCTTCTTTTTCCCAGTGCAGAGGGTTGAAAATGTCAGACAAAATTAATTTTATATGTATGAGAAGACCAATTAATTGGTCATCAATTGCTTTTTCCTTTATGTGGAACATAAGAAAAGGGAAATCCTTAACTATGTTGGAATATTGTCTTTATTGGAAATACCAGTTACAGTAACTGCTCCACAAATAAAATCCCTGGGGGCAGACAAGCAAGTACTTAATGCTGAGGTGGTAAACAAAGGACATGCCTCTGCCTAATTGGAAGCACCACAGTGCAGCTGCTAAGTAGAAGCACCCAAGAAGTTGCCTTAGGGCACTGGCTGAGGACATGTTTCTCGGAGTGTCTGACAGCACCTTAGTGATGTATGTTGTTCTTCCAGCTCCCTGCACACAGCCTGGGGAAGTCCCTTGCTGTGGGCAAGCAACTATTTGAGGAAGTGGGGGACGTTTGGTCTTAAAAGGTCCTGATGTACTATCACCTGTACTAGGCGACTGTGGTCACTGCTCATAGATGAGCTGCTTTAGGAACATGTTTTGTATGTGCTGGAAGACTTCTTTCCCTACTTCTTTTCCTGTAGTTCCCAGCTTGCTTCTGGATTGAAGTCAGCAGCTCTAATCCTTTCAGCTGTTCAATGTGGGTAAATGACTTCCTCAACTGCATTAAAACACTGTTTTGGCCAAACCTAATTGGGCATTTCTGGTCTTCCCAACTCTGTTGTCTTAATTTCTAAAACACCTCTCTGAAGTTTGGTAATGCTTTTGCTGTTTTATTTACCCACAGCCAGTATACTAAGAGTGTCCAAAGAACAATTACATCTTAGCCCAGGTTATTTTAAAACACAGCAGCTGAGGCTGGAGAGGGAAGGCAGTACTTTAGGTATCGAGTCTTTGAACCCTTGAGTACATAAACACTGAAGAGTCTTGACTAGTTTCTGCTTGAGCAAACATCTGCATGTAAAATCTAAATAAAGTGTCTTCCACTAAAAGCTGCTGACATTAAACAGTCATAATTAACAAACATATGAACTTTCCTTGCTTGAAAAACATTGCTTGCTTGCTCACAGGGGAAGTTAAAAAATCTGTACATGTTGAATTTGATTGCTTTCTGTATTGTTGTTCTTATCTCTTAGCATTGGTTGTGCAAACCTGTATTTCAGTTCTTCTACTAATTGCGGTCTACTAAATGCAGTTAAGCATTGGAATGGGCTGCCCAGGGAAGTGGTTGAGGCACCATCCCTGGAGGTTTTCAAAAAACAGGTTGATGTAGTGCTTAGAGACCTAGTTTAGTAATGGGGAAAGTGTGTGGGGGTGTTGTATGGTTTTCTTCTGTTTTTTCTATCAGAGTTAGGTTGATGGTTGGACTAGATATTCTTAAAGGTCCCTTACAACCTAGACAATTCTATGATTTCACTAGGAGCTTCTCAATCATGGTTACTTACATTTTCAGATTTTAAGTAGTGTAAAAAAAAAAAAAAATTGTAAGTGTTCACTAAGGATGGATGATATTTTCCTCAGGATGCTTTTAGAAGTCCAGACTAAGTTTGCACTAAAAGAAGCAGAAACAGAGAGAACAAAAGAGTCTTGCCTTGCCCAAGTGACTAAACTTCAGGAAGAACTGGAAGAGAGAACTGAAGACCTGAAAAGACAACTTGAAGTGGAAAGATCAAGGTGACTTTTCTCAAATGGAACATGCATGTTATGTAGCACATTAAAGTTTTAGTGGGAAGACATGCTGAGAAATAACAATGAACATAATGAAATTCTTGCTTTTCCTAAATTCTTTTCCTAAAAATTCTTGCTCTTTAGGAAGATCATAAATGAAGATGTGACCTCTAGCTTAAAAGAAGAGATCAAGACCTGGCGTAATCTATACGAAGAGTTACATAACAAAACTAAGCCTTTTCAGGTGTGTTATGAAGTAGATGTTTATTAGTATCTATTAACTTGTGCAGTTGCATCAAGTTCTACTCCTGAGCTATTTCCCATTCTAAGGGATTTATCTGGCAATGGCTTCCTAAGTTAAAATCCCTTGGGCCTGCTATTCCCCTTCCCAGACACATCTTTCTTTGTAGATTTCAGTTCAGTAAAAAAGCTGTCTTTAAAGATTTCTAAAAGAGTCAATATGTATTTCAGCAACAACTAGATGCATTTGAAGCAGAGAAGAATGCACTCTTAAACGAGCATGGTGCAGCCCAAGAAGAACTGAATAAACTCAGCGATGCATATGCTAAACTACTTGGCCACCAGAACCAGAAGCAAAAAATCAAGCATGTTATGAAGTTGAAGGAGGAGAACACCCACCTGAAGCAGGTTGGTGAAATAACAAGATAGAAATCTGTAGGTTACTAATTTGCTCGATTCCTTTGTTCGTTGCCCTAAATATTTCTAGACTAATCCTGCAAACTGCTTGCTTTCTATGGTTCTTAAATTGCTTGTAGGAGCTACAGTAGAACAAACCACCAGCCTCTAGGAATATTTTTGACTGAATATGTGATATACAGAGGGATCACCAGTGCAAATAACTACCCCTACTCTTTGCTCTGTTGTGTTTTAATACCTTTTTTGGAGGTTTTAGACTACCTTTAGGTTGACCTCTGGAAATCAAATAAATTATTTAACTATTTCACTAACCTTGTTTTCATGGATATTTTCATGGGTTTTTCAGATATAACACATCCCTCAGTTGAAAACTGACAGCACAGATCTGAATGGTGGGGGGGGGGAAATTGGCAGAAGCTGAATTCCCAAAACAGACTGTCATCTGGTAGTCTTTCTCTAAACTCTTGCAGGTGACTAATATTGAACTGCATGACTGTAATGAGAAAGCAGCTGGTATTGAGTTGTAAAGTGGATTGTCTAGTAATCAGGTGGCATTCTGTTTTTTGTTTAAAAAGCTGATTGAGCTTGTGTGGTTTAATTTCTCTCACCATATATGTGCACACCCTCTTCCTTCACCATTCTTTTCACTATCCTTCAGGTGAGACAAATTTGAGCAGTGAGAAGAGTGTACTTACCCCTGTAACTGGAAGGAGACTTGCATCTCTTGGAGCAACAGTAAGACTCTTCTGTGGTATCTGTAGCACTATTAAATTCCAGTTAAAGCCCGTTGTGACTAGTTAAATTATGTAGCCCCTTTATACAGTTCCTATTAACTTACCTGAGTAAATTATAAAACACATTATTGTGTCTGTATTCCTTGGTAATCCAGAAGGAAAAATGAAATTGCAGGGTCTTTGTGAATGGTGTGATGGGGACTACAGAGTCTTTCGTATTGCTGTGTTGGGGTGTTTTGCCTCTTGCTCACCATATAATTAGGGTGCAGCTGCTTCTTTTTAAGGAGATCGTGTTTCTGCTTTCATACAGTGGATGGGGCAGAGCAGAAACCTAGTGGTAAAAGAAACAAAGAGAGGATGATACTGTATATACAGGTTCTCAGTGCAATGTGTGAGGACACAGATTTGAAGATGCATAGCTGATCCAGTTGAAAAATTATAATCCTGACTTAATAATTCAGTTTACTAATACTCCTGTGTAAGATGTTGGGGTGTTTTGCCTCTTGCTCACCATATAATTAGGGTGCAGCTGCTTCTTTTTAAGGAGATTGTGTTTCTGCTTTCATACAGTGGATGGGGCAGAGCAGAAACCTAGTGGTAAAAGAAACAAAGAGAGGATGATACTGTATATACAGGTTCTCAGTGCAATGTGTGAGGACACAGATTTGAAGATGCATAGCTGATCCAGTTGAAAAATTATAATCCTGACTTAATAATTCAGTTTACTAATACTCCTGTGTAAGATGTCCTGTTGTAGGATGAAATCTTGCAAACAAACCTGAGGTTAAGAGATTAAAGTGGGTTTTTTTGTAGAGTTATGGGGATGCTAATGTGTCAAAGCTTCTTAATTTCCTTCCTGTAACAATGGTAATGAACTCTCCATTCAGAATAAAGCTTAGAAGAAAGTACAGTAGTAAAACCTATCCTACCCTGATACACGTCTGGGTTGTGTGTGGGAGAAAGGCGTTGGCTTTGTATTTTGTATGTGTATCTTTAATAGTATTGTCTACATGAAGGCATTCACTCTTATATTTGACTGTGTTGTTAAATCAGTATCCAGCTAGAAATCAGCTCAAATATTCTTAATAAATCTGTTTTCAAAAGCCAGCTAATGGGACTCTGAAGCCTAAAAAAGATTTTATCCTTATGAAAGAGAAAAAGAAACAGAAGGCACTGGAGAAGGAGGTATGTGAGTGCAATCCTGTAGTACGTTTCCCACTTACTGTAATTAAAAATACAAGCTCATAAAATTAGCCTGGTTTACGTAACATATCCTACAAGTAGTTTGCAAACAGCTCTATGTAGAGCAGAGATTATCAAATGTTGTGGTATGTAGAAAACATTTGGTTTGTTAATGGAATTGCATGAATTCCTACTTATCGTGAACAGCTATGCAACCAGTCTTTTCTCTTTAAAAACAAAAAAGAGCCAAGTCCTGTGTTCTCAGCTCCCAAAAGGCTCTGTTTCATTTAACAACTGTTTGCTAAGATTTTTGCCTAGTTTAAATAATTTGAAAGTTTATGAGGCAGCTACCATTTCTTTATCAGTACCAAGTAGTTTGCAAACAGCTCTATGTAGAGCAGAGATTATCAAATGTTGTGGTATGTAGAAAACATTTGGTTTGTTAATGGAATTGCATGAATTCCTACTTATCGTGAACAGCTATGCAACCAGTCTTTTCTCTTTAAAAACAAAAAAGAGCCAAGTCCGAAGGAGGTATGTGAGTGCAATCCTGTAGTACGTTTCCCACTTACTGTAATTAAAAATACAAGCTCATAAAATTAGCCTGGTTTACGTAACATATCCTACAAGTAGTTTGCAAACAGCTCTATGTAGAGCAGAGATTATCAAATGTTGTGGTATGTAGAAAACATTTGGTTTGTTAATGGAATTGCATGAATTCCTACTTATCGTGAACAGCTATGCAACCAGTCTTTTCTCTTTAAAAACAAAAAAGAGCCAAGTCCTGTGTTCTCAGCTCCCAAAAGGCTCTGTTTCATTTAACAACTGTTTGCTAAGATTTTTGCCTAGTTTAAATAATTTGAAAGTTTATGAGGCAGCTACCATTTCTTTATCAGTACGTTTCTCTGACCTAATCTATGCCTTGTGTCTCAAATGTCACATTTTGTCTTTCCATTCCACAGCCAGAGGAGAGTTGGCTTCTCTTGCAAGTTGAAGCTAAGACTGTTATAACTTTAATGTGTTGTACTGGCTCAGTAGCACAAAACTCAGATGAAATGCTAGGACTGCAAATCTGCAGTGTGTAATAATAAATGTTTTTGGTGATAGTGTTACATCCTTTCCTGTGAATGAAGATTAAAGATGTGTATTCTGAATGAAAGTTAATACAGTTTGGATACTTAACCTCTTCAAGGAAAAATAACAGGCATAAATTAGTGCTGGTATTTAAGAAGAACAATGGTAGGAAATAAAGAAAATGCCTCTTTTGTTGGAAAGTACAGTAGTAAAACCTATCCTACCCTATACGTGTCTGCGTTGTGTGTGGGAGAGAGGCCTCGGCTTTGTATTTTGTATGTGTATCTTTAATAGTATTGTCTACATGAAGGCATTCACTCTTATATTTGACTGTGTTATTAAATCAGTATCCAGCTAGAAATCAGCTCAAATATTCTTAATAAATCTGTTTTCAAAAGCCAGCTAACGGGACTCTGAAGCCTAAAAAAGATTTTATCCTTATGAAAGAGAAAAAGAAACAGAAGGCACTGGAGAAGGAGGTATGTGAGTGCAATCCTGTAGTATGTTTCCCACTTATTGTAATTAAAAATACAAGCTCATAAAATTAGCCTGGTTTACTTAACATATCCTACAAGTAGTTTGCAAATAGCTATATGTAGAGTAGAGATTATCAAATGTTGTGCTATGTAGAAAACATTTGGTTTGTTAATGGAATTGCATGAATTCCTACTTATCATGACTTACCTTACTTATCATGCTTTTCTTAATCTCTAATAAGCTGTCTGAAGATGGTGTGCAGAAGAAAATGAGCAGCCTATGCATGGAGTTAATGAAGCTCAGAAACAAGAGGGATGCTAAGGAAAAGGTATGACCATTTGCACTGCTCAGGGTAGTAATTCTGAGCTGCTCAGGAGCAGATAATGAAGGGCTTAAAACAGAAATACAGATGGTGTGTTGTTCTGTCCTCAACTGGGTAGATTTTTCTGTTTTTTGTAGAGTGAAAATAGAGAAACAAAGAAAGATCAAACAATGAGTGTTCTTGATTTTGCTGTTGATTTTGCTGTAAATCTGAGTTAACATAAGGAAGCCTAGAAATACCTTTATAACAACATCAATCTGTTGGTCAGATTATTAGTTTCTTTGTTGGCTTCTCTTGCAAGTTGAAGCTAAGACTATTATAACTTTAATGTGTTTTACTGGCTCAGTAGCACAAAATAACTCAGATGAAATGTTAGGACTGCAAATCTGCTGTGTGTAATAATAGATGTTTTTGGTGATAGTGTTACGTCTTTTCCTGTGAATGAAGATCAAAGATGTGTATTCTGAATGAAAGTTAATACAGTTTGGATACTTAACCTCTTCAAGGAAAAATAACAGGCATAAACTAATGCTGGTATTTAAGAACAATGGTAGGAAATGAAGAAAATGCCTCTTTTGTTTTAGATCCGTGCATTAGTGAGAGAGCGTGGAGAGCAGGATAAAAAACTTAAGGCTCTGGATGAGGATTTTGTTAAAACCGAAGCAAAGCTGAGTGCTGCCGTTCAGGAGAAAACATCTCTCCTGGCAAACATTGCATGCCTGAAAAAACAGCTTCTGGAGCTAACAAGAGCTAATGAACTACTAAAATCAAAGGTATTCAGACAAATAACCATGTATTTGCTTTGACTTTGCTACTATTAAGCTTCCTGTGCAAGAGGAAACTCTAGTTGCTGATCAGCATCCCTGTGGCCCTTCATTGCCATAGGGATAGAGCAAGTCTGTTTTGGGATCTTATGCTCTTCTGTCTCGAGAGAGTGGGACCTGCTAAAATCTGTCTCAAGGATGGGTAGAGACCAATGCTGTGGGTGGGAGGGGATACTTTTAAAAGGTTGTGTGAAGAGTAACTCATATGAAAAAGCTAAGCTTGGTGGTTTTTTCTTAATCTCTAATAAGCTGTCTGAAGATGGTGTGCAGAAGAAAATGAGCAGCCTATGCATGGAGTTAATGAAGCTCAGAAACAAGAGGGATGCTAAGGAAAAGGTATGACCATTTGCACTGCTCAGGGTAGTAATTCTGAGCTGCTCAGGAGCAGACAATGAAGGGCTTAAAACAGAATTACAGATGGTGTGTTGTTCTGTCCTCAACCGGCTAGATTTTTCTGTTTTCTGTAGAGTGAAAATAGAGAAACAAAGAAAGATCAAACAATGAGTGTTCTTGATTTTGCTGTTGATTTTGCTGTAAATCTGAGTTAACATAAGGAAGCCTAGAAATACCTTTATAACAACATCAATCTGTTGGTCAGATTATTAGTTTCTTTGAAAGCCAGTATAGTTTGAAGCTCGTATACGTGTTTGCGTTTCTTGGAGGGTGGTGTTTGTTTTTAACAAAGGGCAGATAACTTTACAGAAGGATACTTTGAATCACATTTAGCATAGTAGCAAAAGCTCTCATTAAATTGTAGTTATGAATTAATTTCAGTTTACCACTGTCTCTTAGACGATTGACTTAGATACTTTGTAAAAAAAAAAAAAATTCTTTTTGGAGGTGATATTTGTTTGGTTTTTTTAAGACTGCACTTGCAAAGCAGGAAGATATGGAAATGAAGCTGCAGGAGGTGCAACGGAATCTAGAGCATTCAAAAGGAAAAGTAGCACAGTTAGAAGAAAAACTGTAAGTAGTATGGAAAGGAATTGACTTAGATGACACTACATCATCTAGCTGTGCCTACCTGCTTATACCTTATAATAAGCACATAGTTTAGGGAAAAATGCAGGCTGTCTCCTTCCTGAGTAGGAACAGAAATTATTAGTATTTGTGACCTGGAACAAATTTGATGGATGAAGTTTTAGGAACTGCTGTATTGCTATAAAATGAACGTACTAGACAAACATATTTTGTATCTAACCTTCTTGCAAGAGACAAACCATATCATCTCAACCCTTTGTATTCCAGTGTGATATGTGTGTAGTTCTCTTGGGTAATGGGGTGGAGAAGGAAGATACATATCTTAAAAGATTTGAATTTAAGTAGATCCATCACAGATTATTAGTTTCTTTGAAAGCCAGTATAGTTTGAAGCTCGTATACATGTTTGCATTTCTTGGAGGGTGGTGTTTGTTTTTGTTTTAACAAAGGGCAGATAACTTTACAGAAGCATACTTTGAATCACATTTAGCATACTAGCAAAATCTCTCACTAAATTATAGTTATGAATTAATTTCAGTTTACCACTGTCTCTTAGACGATTGACTTAGATACTTCGTAAAAAATTCTTTTTGGAGGTAATATTTGGTTGTTTTTTTTTTTTAAGACTGCACTTGCAAAGCAGGAAGATATGGAAATGAAGCTGCAGGAGGTGCAACGGAATCTAGAGCATTCAAAAGGAAAAGTAGCACAGTTAGAAGAAAAACTGTAAGTAGTATGGAAAGGAATTGACTTAGATGACACTACATCATCTAGCTGTGCCTGCCTGCTTATACCTTTTAATAAGCACATAGTTTAGGGAAAAATGCAGGCTGTCTCCTTCCTGAGTAGGAACAGAAATTATTAGTATTTGTGACCTGGAACAAATTTGATGGATGAAGTTTTAGGAACTGCTGTATTGCTATAAAATGAACGTACTAGACAAACATATTTTGTATCTAACCTTCTTGCAAGAGACAAACCATATCATCTCAACCCTTTGTATTCCAGTGTGATATGTGTGTAGTTCTCTTGGGTAATGGGGTGGAGAAGGAAGACATGTATCTTAAAGGATTTGAATTTAAGTAAATCCATCGCACTACATCATCTAGCTGTGCCTGCCTGCTTATACCTTTTAATAAGCACATAGTTTAGGGAAAAATGCAGGCTGTCTCCTTCCTGAGTAGGAACAGAAATTATTAGTATTTGTGACCTGGAACAAATTTGATGGATGAAGTTTTAGGAACTGCTGTATTGCTATAAAATGAACGTACTAGACAAACATATTTTGTATCTAACCTTCTTGCAAGAGACAAACCATATCATCTCAACCCTTTGTATTCCAGTGTGATATGTGTGTAGTTCTCTTGGGTAATGGGGTGGAGAAGGAAGATACATATCTTAAAAGATTTGAATTTAAGTAGATCCATCATGAAAAATCTCCTGGTTTTAGGTCTGCTACTGAGAGAGAGAAAGTTGAAGAAAAGTCTGACACTGAAAAACTCCTGGAATATATCACAGAGCTCAGGTAACAACAGATTGTTCATGAGTTGGATTCATAAGTCAAAAGATGGTAAAAGACAGCCTTGCTTATGACTGGTTAAGTAGAACCTTGGCAACAACTCTGTTTAACAGTATTGAAATAGAGGGGGGGTAAAAATCAGGTATTTTGCAAAAACTTGTCTGGAAAAGTAGAAGGCAGTTTTCCTGTTGGAAACCAACACTCCTAAGTGTTTTTGTTTTCTGTAAGCTTACAAAATTTAACAGATGCCTGAATTTTTTCCTACAGTAGTGTTGCAGAAACAGTTGAGAAATACAAACTGGATGTTGCCCAGATGGAGGAGACAGTGATAAAGAAAGACCAAGATATTGGGGTCCTGAAGGATACCCTCAAAACAAGAGAGGAAGAATCTTTTAAACTGATAAAAGAACTTAATGAAAGGTGTGACTTGCTTCAACAAGAAAAAGGTAGTTGTTAGTGCTTGGATGCTGTTCACGTGTGTGGGATCTCTGACATAGAATTATAGAGCTGTTAGAGTTAGAAGGGACACTTAACATGTCTTAAGACATCTCAGATAAGTTTGTTTTAAAATGTCAATTTAGACCAGTTCGTTCCAAGTTAAAAGTCGTGTCTCTGAGCTGCAGCTGAAACCATGTAGTCATATTTCCAACAATACAGAAACTACCTTGGATCTGACATTTGTTAAGTCTAAATTTGTATTTCCATGGAGGGTTAGTAAGGTAAATAAAACAGAAATGAAATTGTTTCCATAGTAGGAATGGCTTTATTCTGTAAGCTGAACACATGGTGTTCCTTACTCTTCACTGAGAAGCTGTACAATATCGTCTCAATCCACTGTTAGCAGCTGGTGCACAAGTTCATTGAGATACTGTTAATGTGTGTAGGAATCCTTCACCAGTGACTCTGAAGCCTGAGACTGGTGCTCAGTTCTCTGTCTGCTAGTTGGCTTGTGTGTGCTAATACTATGTGGAAGAAGCTTTGGGGAAATCATTTAGTTTGTTTTCCACAGCCACACTGCTGTTTTGATGAAGGCTAATGACTTGATCCAAAGATTCTTGCAGTTTAAAATTATTTTTTAAGTTGTGTACTTTGAGCCAGTTTTGAGGAGTTTTCCAGATGGGTTAAAAATGTAGTTTGGATTTATTTCCACCCTTGCCTAATTAATTTTAAAGCTAGAATGGAAGTACTATGAAGAATAGATGTTGTAGTTCTTTGAAGATAGAGAAGGGAATTTATGTTATATTGGCAATTCCCCTATGCAGAGAAAGAGTTGTCTGAGAGCAGAGAGAAACTCCTGAGTATGAATGCTGAAATAGAAGACCTGAAAAAAAAAATTGTCTTAAAAGAACAAGAACACCAAAAACTTCTTCAGAAACATGAGGAGGTGGTCTCTCAGCTGCAACAAGAGAAGGTAAATACACACTGAGAATTAGTCTGAAAGTAGACTCTAATCCCAATGACTGGCACTAAAGGTTCTGGTTTTGGTTATACATGAGATTGCTGTGTTGTTGAGGGTCTTATCTCAGGAATGTACAAGTGGGTGCTGGCACGCAGAAACTCTGTGGTTCAATATCTTGAAGAATCATAGCTGGTATGATGGGTGTTTTGGTTCTTCCTGTTGACCTTATTCTCATGCTTTAAAGTTTAAACACTGCAAATTAGACTTCAATATCTAGAAAACTACTGGTAGTTATAAAATCTGTGATACTCTGGCGTGCAGGAGTCATCTGCATCAATGCACCAGAAGTTACTGGAGCTCCAAGATGAGGTAACAAGTGAGAGACACCTTCTTGAAGAAGAGCTGAATGATGTAACGAATGAGCTGAATAAATTACATGCTAAGGAGAAGAAAGCTGAGAAGTTGGTGAAGCGGTTGGAACAAGAAATCAAATCTCAAGCTCTTGAACTTGCACAGATGGAAGTAAAGTTGAAAGGGTTTGTGAAATAGCTTTCTGATTCTAAAGCTTTGGAAGGAAAAATGTTATGTCATGAGCATAAAAAAGCTTTGGAGCCTAATTTGGGTTTTAAAGAGACCTGAACAGGTCTAAATTTTTCTTGCTGGCCATCACTTGATAGTGATTACACCTAATCTAGCTGAGTGACTTGAATCAGTTTGCTACTGTCTTAAAGCTGTTTAATTAGTGTGCTTGTACTTGCTTGAGATGCCAGTACTAAAATAAAATGACATTGCTGTGAAGGGGAGGGTACATGCATGTGGTATTGGATGTTTCTGCCCTGGGCAGGGCAATGACTAGCAAAGACTTTAAAGCAAGTTGTTTCTTCCTTTCACATATTACAAGTTTACTATTAGGTATTCAATCTATTCTATAGATATCTTGGAAAATAAGGGGAGGGGGAAATGCTTCATTAAATCTGCTATGAAGATATGCTTTAATACATGAGAAACTGTGGCAGAGAAGTTACTGGTTTGTCACAACTAACTTATTGCTGCCACTGTGAGCCTTCTGTAGCTGATAACAGCTTTTGCTAATGTGTTCAGACGTGCTTACCCCCAGCATGGAATGCTGAATTTTTATTTCAGGAAGAATGCCGAGTTGGAGCAAATCAATGACAAGCACAGCAATGCTGTTTCGCAAATCCAAGAAGAACATAGGAATACATTGCATAAACTTGGAGAGACTGTTGATGAGTTTGAAAGGTATTTAAATTTAATTAAGACCTAGGATGTGGACTCTATGTGAGCATTGGTACAGCATTAGAGCAGAGGATTTTGTGGTGGAGTATTTGATGGCATTAAAACATTAATTTATTCCTTTGGAGTACTAGTCAAGTGTAACGACATAATCAGTATCTAGTTCAGAAAACTGGGTGTTTCGTCTTCCGAAGTATAACCAATCAGAATGCTCAAGTGCTCTTGAATCTCAATGAGAGTTGTAACTGGTAATGGTGTTCTCTTTGCACTAAAATCTGTTGCGAAAAAGGCTTTTTGTTTAGGCTCTAAAATGTACCAAATTGAGATGATTTTTCTACAGTTCTTGCAGATCTTTACTCTCAAAATAATCAAGTTGTGGAAATTCTTAAAAAACGATACTGTTACTGAGAAGTATGCAAGGCAGCCATGAAGGATCCAGTGGGATATTTGCCAATGCAAGCTGTATTAGTGGGTCTTTAAGTGTTGAAAGTGAGCTTCAGATGTAGTAGGTCTCTTGTATTTGAAAAAATCTACCAAAATGTGAAAAAATCTGTATTGCAGAATTTGTCATAATGTTACTGCTTATGGCTTTAGAGAAAAGTTTGTGTGTTTGTTGGGTTTTTTTAAATTGTGTTTTTTTTCCAGTGCCAGAACACTGTTACATCTCCAGATAACAAAACCTCTTTTCTATTTGTTAGAATGAGCTTGTATTGCCTTTGTAATGCCTGAACAGTTCAATCTGTATTTTTTCCAAAGTAACAAGATTTTTATTTGCATTGGAATACTAGCTACAAGAAAACAACAGCTGAAGAAATATGCAGTCTTAAGCTGGAGAACACCTCTCTGCAAGAAGAAGTTGCCAACCTAAAAAAAACAGGCCAAGATAACCTGCAGCTGCTTCAGGAAGCAGAACATGCTAAAAACAAAGCAGAAGATGAATGTGCAAGGTACAAGATAGACAAGCTTTTCCTTAAGCTAAAGCACACCAGCTAAGGCCTGCCTTCTGAGCTAGAACTTAACATGCTGCTCTACCAAATGAATTCAGTATTTGGCTTAAGTTTCTTCTTTTTCCCAGTGCAGAGGGTTGAAAATGTCAGACAAAATTAATTTTATATGTATGAGAAGACCAATTAATTGGTCATCAATTGCTTTTTCCTTTATGTGGAACATAAGAAAAGGGAAATCCTTAACTATGTTGGAATATTGTCTTTATTGGAAATACCAGTTACAGTAACTGCTCCACAAATAAAATCCCTGGGGGCAGACAAGCAAGTACTTAATGCTGAGGTGGTAAACAAAGGACATGCCCCTGCCTAATTGGAAGCACCACAGTGCAGCTGCTAAGTAGAAGCACCCAAGAAGTTGCCTTAGGGCACTGGCTGAGGACATGTTTCTCGGAGTGTCTGACAGCACCTTAGTGATGTATGTTGTTCTTCCAGCTCCCTGCACACAGCCTGGGGAAGTCCCTTGCTGTGGGCAAGCAACTATTTGAGGAAGTGGGGGACGTTTGGTCTTAAAAGGTCCTGATGTACTATCACCTGTACTAGGCGACTGTGGTCACTGCTCATAGATGAGCTGCTTTAGGAACATGTTTTGTATGTGCTGGAAGACTTCTTTCCCTACTTCTTTTCCTGTAGTTCCCAGCTTGCTTCTGGATTGAAGTCAGCAGCTCTAATCCTTTCAGCTGTTCAATGTGGGTAAATGACTTCCTCAACTGCATTAAAACACTGTTTTGGCCAAACCTAATTGGGCATTTCTGGTCTTCCCAACTCTGTTGTCTTAATTTCTAAAACACCTCTCTGAAGTTTGGTAATGCTTTTGCTGTTTTATTTACCCACAGCCAGTATACTAAGAGTGTCCAAAGAACAATTACATCTTAGCCCAGGTTATTTTAAAACACAGCAGCTGAGGCTGGAGAGGGAAGGCAGTACTTTAGGTATTGAGTCTTTGAACCCTTGAGTACATAAACACTGAAGAGTCTTGACTAGTTTCTGCTTGAGCAAACATCTGCATGTAAAATCTAAATAAAGTGTCTTCCACTAAAAGCTGCTGACATTAAACAGTCATAATTAACAAACATATGAACTTTCCTTGCTTGAAAAACATTGCTTGCTTGCTCACAGGGGAAGTTAAAAAATCTGTACATGTTGAATTTGATTGCTTTCTGTATTGTTGTTCTTATCTCTTAGCATTGGTTGTGCAAACCTGTATTTCAGTTCTTCTACTAATTGCGGTCTACTAAATGCAGTTAAGCATTGGAATGGGCTGCCCAGGGAAGTGGTTGAGGCACCATCCCTGGAGGTTTTCAAAAAACAGGTTGATTTAGTGCTCAGAGACCTAGTTTAGTAATGGGGAAAGTGTGTGGGGGTGTTGTATGGTTTTCTTCTGTTTTTTCTATCAGAGTTAGGTTGATGGTTGGACTAGATATTCTTAAAGGTCCCTTACAACCTAGACAATTCTATGATTTCACTAGGAGCTTCTCAATCATGGTTACTTACATTTTCAGATTTTTAAGTAGTGTAAAAAAAAATAAAAATTGTAAGTGTTCACTAAGGATGGATGATATTTTCCTCAGGATGCTTTTAGAAGTCCAGGCTAAGTTTGCACTAAAAGAAGCAGAAACAGAGAGAACAAAAGAGTCTTGCCTTGCCCAAGTGACTAAACTTCAGGAAGAACTGGAAGAGAGAACTGAAGACCTGAAAAGACAACTTGAAGTGGAAAGATCAAGGTGACTTTTCTCAAATGGAACATGCATGTTATGTAGCACATTAAAGTTCTAGTGGGAAGACATGCTGAGAAATAACAATGAACATAATGAAATTCTTGCTTTTCCTAAATTCTTTTCCTAAAAATTCTTGCTTTTTAGGAAGATCATAAATGAAAATGTGACCTCTAGCTTAAAAGAAGAGATCAAGACCTGGCGTAATCTATACGAAGAGTTACATAACAAAACTAAGCCTTTTCAGGTGTGTTATGAAGTAGATGTTTATTAGTATCTATTAACTTGTGCAGTTGCATCAAGTTCTACTCCTGAGCTATTTCCCATTCTAAGGCATTTATCTGGCAATGGCTTCCTAAGTTAAAATCCCTTGGGCCTGCTATTCCCCTTCCCAGACACATCTTTCTTTGTAGATTTCAGTTCAGTAAAAAAGCTGTCTTTAAAGATTTCTAAAAGAGTCAATATGTATTTCAGCAACAACTAGATGCATTTGAAGCAGAGAAGAATGCACTCTTAAACGAGCATGGTGCAGCCCAAGAAGAACTGAATAAACTCAGCGATGCATATGCTAAACTACTTGGCCACCAGAACCAGAAGCAAAAAATCAAGCATGTTATGAAGTTGAAGGAGGAGAACACCCACCTGAAGCAGGTTGGTGAAATAACAAGATAGAAATCTGTAGGTTACTAATTTGCTTGATTCCTTTGTTCGTTGCCCTAAATATTTCTAGACTAATCCTGCAAACTGCTTGCTTTCTATGGTTCTTAAATTGCTTGTAGGAGCTACAGTAGAACAAACCACCAGCCTCTAGGAATATTTTTGACTGAATATGTGATATACAGAGGGATCACCAGTGGAAATAACTACCCCTACTCTTTGCTCTGTTGTGTTTTAATACCTTTTTTGGAGGTTTTAGACTACCTGCTGGAAGCAGCACTTGAAAACGTCAGTCTGCCAAGCTGCTTAGTACAGTACAAATTGAACTGTTGTTCAGCAATTATATGGTGGTGCCAGTTTTCTCTACACCTGTATGTTTGGTTTGTTTTTTAATGCCATCAGTAACTATGTATGTTTGTGTAGCATAAGTTAAAAGGGCTACATCAGTAACTTACTAGACAGGCTTTTCTCCTGTTCTCTTTTTAACTTCCAAGTATTATGTTTACTTTAGGAGGTCTCAAAACTGCGTGCATCACTAGCAAAAGAAAAGCAAGAGAACAGAAATCTTCAGCAGCAACTAAATTCGATTCAGGGTATCAGGCGTTTTGCTCCTTCCAAGGCTTTCCAGCATGATAGCAAGGAAAACGTTCCTCCAAAACCTCCTTTGAAAGAAGGTAAGCTTAAATATTGATGTAACTGTGTCCTTGTACCTCTTAAACTTAACTGAAGAAGGTATGACAGCCTTGCGTAGTCTGCTGCAATGGGGAAGGAAGGAGATTGGCCTCTCTCGTGCTTCTCCACAGATGTTGGAAGGCTGCATCAATGGGGCGCTTCCAGTGTACACTCTGCTACTGGGTTTTACAGCCCAGTTTCCTGTAGCCTGAGATGGGCAGGTGGTGTGTCTGGTCAGACAACAGAAAGTGTGTTTGGTAGGGGGATTTGATGTACAGTGTTTTTAACTTAGTAACACTTTTCCATTGCAGGTAACAAAAACCAAATTTAATCTCTTCTTGGTATTAAGAAAAAGATGATAAATTGCAAATAAATTAATGTACTGCTGCAGAAGACTTCAACAGACTACTTGTTCAAGGGGAACTTGGATGCTGTACATAATGCAAATCAGTAGGAGTACTACAGAAATGGTCTAAAATGATACATTTTAAGAAAACCTATGCTTGGTTATACACTTAGTGAGAAGCCATAGGGGACTGTGTTCTTCACTGCTGGTGACATCACTGCACTCCAAAAAGTGTTCACTGTTTCCCTTTTTTGTACGCTGAAGCTCCTTTGTTTTTGACAAGCAGCTCAAGCTGAGAATAGGTGAATAAGCACTGGAGAATAAGGATGATAAACATAATCCGACTCCGTAAAAGATTTTTATGCATCTCTCATGTTAAATTAATATTGCCCTTTATGCATCCTTCAACACCAACGGCAGGAATGCTGCCAAGATGCCTTTTTTACATGATAATAGAACTAGTAGAAAATTGAACTGATATTCTTAATGGGATCTGTATTCAGAATATGCTAATTTAAATCCTTAGCTAGATATTGCAGCTGTTGATCTTCAGAAGAGGTTTTTCAGGTCAAACTCAAGGTGACTGCATTAACATAAATGTTTGTGTACAGTGGCTAAGATCAGTGTGTTAAGAGAAATGTCTTTTTTAATAATTCTGTGCTCACTGGACTCGTAAATTATGTGTGTAGACAACTATGGTAACTGATCAATGGTACCTAAAGGGGAATAATAACAGAACTAGTCTTAATTGGGTTGTCGGATACCCACTGTACACATGTTCATTGTACAGACTTGAGTTTTGGCAAGGTGGAAAGAATCTGTTTGCATCTAATATTAAGAAAGTTTTAGCACAATAAAAGTTTTTAATCAAAAAATTGTTTATTTCCTTCACAAACCAGGGATAAAAACCAGAGCCTGTGTTCTCTAACTTTACAGAAATCTTTGAGTTGAACTGTAAAACACAGAACCTGCGATTCCCTTATCCTCTCATTTCCTGTGAGTTTCTCATAATACAAAAGTAAATACTGGAACTTAAGTGAAATGTAGGACTCTGTGTTCTTGTTACTGTAGCTACTACTATCCTGCAGATGGGCGCTGCGGAGACACAGTACACAAAGCTGAGCATGGTGAATATATTGCTGTTTCTGCTGCCGTTGTAAGCTTAGAGAGAACTGATAACACCTAGGAAAGGAGATACCAGAAATGCATAGCAAGTCCAAGGAAAGAAATCACTGCGTCATCTTCGTGTATTTGTGGGATTACTCTAACCTCTAGAGGATGAAGATTAACTTCAGGTGTTTGAATTGAGCAATACTTAATGTTTAATTTAGCAGCTTGCTTCAAGTGTTGAGAGGCATATTTAAATAAGGAAGTTGCTGAAAGAAATTACTGCTGGAATTATCTCTAAAAGATAAGTTTTATTGTCTGAAAGATGTAAATGGGGTAAAAGAAAATTGTAGAGGAAATGTGCATTAGTCTGACTCACTTGATGAGAACAAGGTCTTACTTGAAATTCTGATGTTACACAGCCCCTGTAGCCACTGGGCCCTGGATGTGAAATGAACTGGTTAAACCAGACTCTGCCTGGTGAGCAGTGGGGAAAGAGCAATGGGGTAGTGGTGGGGAATCTGTCAATAACTGGAAAGGGAAGTAACGCTCTACAGCCATTACAGTAGAGTTTCCCTTGTAAGGTGGCATCTTTCACACAGTGTTGCTGAAAATTGTGCTCTTTCTGTGCTGTTTTAGTCATATGGGAACTTTCAAGGCAAAAATCTCTTTTCATAGATCAATGTCAACATTTGCTGGAAAGTCTTAATGCCAAAAATTAAAGACATCCTTAGTGTAATGTGTTCTTAAAAATGTACATGAGCCTTCTGTGTTAGGAGAGATTAGGGCAAGTGAATGTTAACAGAATGTTCCACAGAACTCATACACAGAAATGGGGACACTGAGTAAAACTACACTAAACTGAACCTCATTTTTTGGAGTTTAACGTATCATGCATGAACTGACAAGAGTTTGTCAGAGGATGAAAGTATACCTAGTGAAGCAAAATCCTGCAGATATTGCAGGATTGTCTTTTTATCATGGCTACGGACTTCTTTTATACAGCCTTAATTCTTAAAACTTCATACCTGAATTGACAGTTTTGCTGAAGTGTAAAGTTGAATGCTTTCTAGGCCTGCAAGAGCATGGTTGGATTGACAAAAAGAGTAGGGAAAGTCTTGCAAATAACTATGCTGGTATAACAGTAATGTCCATTTTTTTTGTTTTAGCTTTAAAATATAGGTAAATAACAAAGAGCACTCTGGGGAGAGAAGTAAAGAGTGGAATTAAAGGGGAAACTTTGCAGTGCTTCATGTCAACTGCAAGTGGTTTTGCCAGTTTCATACGCATATGAAATACATATTAAAAACAAAAAACCTTGATACTGGTAGTTCAACTGCCTTAAGTATTCCCTGTAAGAATCAATGATTTCCTTGTTGTGAAACATAGGTTTTTTTGGTTGCTGTTTAAAAAAAATATATAATTTAGTGAGCAATTATTTTTCTGACCATCCATCTCACTGCACTGTAGGAAGATCGGGGTTGTACTTAGTTTAAATGTAAAATGAAGAGCTGCTTGAATCCTCAACCTGGCTGCCCTAATTAGAGCCCCCCTCCTGTTTCCTGTGAAAGAGGAACTGCACAAGACTCAGCGCCGGTGCTTTGAGTCCATTTCATGCACACAATGGCTGCACTGGCTCCTGGGGGCTGGTGTGAAGGGAAAATTTTAAGTTCATACTGAGCTGCTTAAACGGTACCATGGGGAATAAACCAAAAGCTTAAGGGGCTTCAGAGGCACACGTGGTCCAGGGCTTGGATTAGCGTTTCAGTTTCAAAGGTCAGGCCCTGTGCTCTCTGCAGGCACCAGCAGACACAGGGGCAGACGCGCAGCTGAACTGCAATAATTTCCTGGGCTGGTAACTCCTCCTGTCGTTTTGGGCGATGCCCGAAATGCTGGTGGGAACGGAGCAGGTAAGGCTCGGGGTATTTGCACTTACAGATTGCTGATACGCTTCACTTACAGAGCCTAGGGACAAGGAAACAGGAGGAGGGAGATACTCAATTACGCTTTAGTCTCTGCGAGTTACAGTCTGAAATGTTAATTGAATAAATGGTGCATTTAGTCACCCAGTGATGCATTACACTTAAATGACTGTGATATGGGGTATAATAAAATTTTTGTTTATCTGCTCCTGTAAATCATAGTGTTTCACAAAGTAAAAACCTTTGTGATTAAGAGATTTAAAATATAAACTAGAATGCTATTGAATTCAAATTAAATATTTCAGTAAAAAATATACTGTCTTCTCCCATGAAGATAACAAATTCCATATAGTTTTTTTAACTGTTATGTTAGTGACAAAACGTGAAGACACTTTGCAGGGTGGTTTGTGGTTCTACCTTGAGGGCAGGGTGTCAGTGCTTTCCCCGTTTCCCTCTGCTCCCAGGTGCCTGGTTTTGTTCAGCTGCAGCCGGAGCTCTGGCAGCAGCGTGAGGAGGAGGAAGGGCTGGGACATGGGCTGTGCCTGGTGGGGTCGCCTTAGTGCCCCTGAACTGTTCGCTGTTTCTTTGTAGATTTTACTTCTGAATGTCAGGTTATGAATTACTGATACTTTAAAATAGAATTCTAAGGTTAATGAAAGGGAATAACATGTCCGTAACTTATTACAAAGGAAAATAGGGCATCTGTGTTCCATGAAAGCAGAAACTGGCTAAAGTGGTTTACACATGTATAATTTTTATCCTAGAAATGTCAATTCTTTGTCGTGAGTAAAAATTGCTTACAACGTGATTGATTGTATTCAATTTTTGGTAGATTTTCTGATTTCCCTTTAACTGTTTATTAATCCCTGTAGTGTCAGCTAGTTTTTCCCATTGACTATCAATTAAATACTGTTTTAATCAAGTCTATCTGAAATTAATTGATCAGGTCAAGATGTAAGTTTAAATGTAGTTAAAATAAATTCTAGCCACTAATTCTTAGGCATCTACTTAACTTCAGTTCTGTTTCGAAAAACAATGTTAGGCCAAGGCCTTTGTGTGGGTCAGAAGTAGTGACAGGGAAGAGCTTTGTCTCCAGCTTCATGTGACTTGGGAAGATTGCGTTTATAAAAAATCAGCTTTATCATCTTGTGAGCATAAACTCACCTGTGTAGGGAGTGCTAGGAGCAGTGACTGCTGTGGGGCAGGCAGCCTCTCCTCCTCCCTGGCATTTACCAGCCCCTTTTCTACAAAGCGATGGATAAAGGCACTTAAAAAACATGTTACTTTCTGTAATTTTCTGCTCTTTATATATTCTAAAAGGGAAATGAAATAATTGAGTATGTGCCAGAGCGATATTAACAGCAACAGGTATTAACATATTAACAGCAATAAGGTATTTCAGTCTAATGATGACGTTTCACTTGAGAGACCTGGCCCTGCCTTTATGTTTTTTTACAAACGAAGACGAAGCTTCAACGTTCGAGCTCGGTGACGCGGGACACCGATTGTCACAGCTGTGGGTGAAGGGGCAGCTGCTTCCCTTCTCGGCGGGAGGAGCTGAGTCTCGGCAGCCGCCCGGGATGTGTCCGGGAGAGCTCGGACCTGTTGAGCCGGTAACTTCCCCCTCTCCCCGGCGGCTGCGGGGCCGGTCGGTGGGTCTGCGCCAAAGCGCCGCTCAGGGACGGTTTTCACACCTCGCTTAATATTTCCAGGCGCTTGGGCGCGACTTCCCGCTGGGCGGCGCTGCTCAGCCGCTCCCTCCGTCCCAGGTGTCCCGGCCCGGGCCTCGCCCTGCGGCGCTGCCGCCGCGGGAGTGACGCCCCCCCCCCCCCCCCGCAACCGGGGCACCGTCGAAGCCGCTGTTTCCCCTTTAAAGCCCCCCTCGGGCCCCGCCCTCTCAGCCGCTTCTCAGCCAATGAGCGCGCGGCGGCGGGAGGCGCCTGCGCTGGCTGCGTCCCCGCGGCCCAATGAGGGCGCTCCCTGCCGCGCGGCACGTCCGCCTCCCGCAGCGCCCGCCGGAGCGGAGCAGGAGTAGGAGCAGGCCCTGGCCGCGGCCCCGCCGGCCCCCGCCGCCGCCATGGTGGGCCGGGAGAAGGAGCTCAAGATCCGCTTCGTGCCGGGGTGCTGCGAGCTGGTGGAGGTGAGCGGCGAGAGGGGGCCTTTTCTCCGGGTGCGCAACCGGGGTCGGCGGGGGCTCCCGGGCCGGGCCCTGCGCTCAGCGCGGGGCGGTGTCGGCGGCTCTGCCCGCCCGCGGGGCCTGGTCTGCCGGCCGTGCGGGGGGCCCTGTGCCTCGCCGGGGCTGCCCGCCGGCTCTGGGGACTCGAGCGGTCGTTTATCTCCTGGCGTTACCCCCCGTGCGGGTGGTGTCGGTGTGTAGCAGGAAGCAGTGTCCGGTTTGCCCCTCTAAGGGTTAACCCGTTACCGCCAGCGGCCCCGCCGCACGGGGGAGGCTGCTCTCCGCCCGGGAAAGCGGGTTTCTCCCGCCCCGGGGGCGTAGCGGGGTCCGCGGCGGCGGAGCCTCCCGCACGTCGGTTCGCGCGGAGCAGTCTTCCCCCGGCCTCCACGGGCGCGGTCCCGGGCCCCGCTGCCGCCCCGGGGCTGTCGCGGCTGCAGGAGGGGGCTGCGGTGGAGTCGTTGCCCGGGAGAGGCTCTTTGGCCACACGGGATGTTACCAATCTGTGTTACCCCAGTGGCTTCCGGTGTTTGCGGGCGGTCTTTAAAATTGAGGTTTTTGAGTTCATCGTGATTTTGTCAAGTTTGGTTTTTATATAAAGCTTAAAAAGTTCTTGTATCTCAGTTTTTGTATTAAAAAGGTTTTTCGACTTCTTACCTTCGCACTTTACTATTTCTGTAAACTGTATCTTATTTTCTATTTGGTAGCATCTACAAAGTAATCTCAGATTTTATAAATGGTAACTTTTAATCTTAGGGTGTTATTGCTTGGACATTTTTCTGTGAATGAGACTGCCAAGTCCAGTTTTTTTTTCTTATGTTAGTTTTTATTCAGTGTTGAGCACCAAGTAAAGCAAAATAAAATTGGAAGCTTTATTATAAAGCTCAAAATAGTGCATTTAAATAGTGGGATTCAAAATGAGTTGCTCAGGTAGTGAGCAGGTTAATCCGTATTCGTTTGTCAGTCTGTGGACAGCTGTGAGGCAACAGCAGTAGCTTCTGTAACCAGCAGTGGAGCGTACCTCTTAAGAAAAAAGAGCAATAAATAACAACGTAAAGAAAATTTCTCTTTTCCCCAGGAAGATGTTGATATTCCCAGTAGGCGAGTTTTGATCACTGGTGCTACAGGACTTCTGGGCAGAGCCATGTTTAAAGAATTCCGTGAAAATAATTGGAATGCAGTTGGCTGTGGATACAGGAGAGCTCAGCCCAGGTTTGAACAGATCAATCTTCTGGACTCTGTGGCAGTTCATGACATCATCCATGACTTTCAGGTAAGCTCCTGGAGTATGAAGTAGAAGGACAAGGTACTTTCTACATCCAGGAATCAGCTGCAGTGCAGTTCTGATACTAAGTTCATGTGGCTTTACTGGGGCTTATGCTTTGGCAGAGCTCTGAAAAATTACACGCTGCCTTTTCTGCCGCGTCTGGAGCGTAGGTTTGCTCTGCAGTTACAGACAGATCTCAACTTTGCTGTCGTTACCACAGACGGGCTGCAGGTAACGGACGGAGGTGTCAATACACGTGTGTTGACAGGCAAAAGAAAAAGATGAATGTGAGTTACTGACACAGTAACACGACACGGTTCTTTCAGATTTGAAGGATACTTGAATACATCAGCAGCAGCCACGTCTAGCACACAAATTTACTGTTTTTTCAATGTGATTTGCAAGAGGAATACATAAAACCTGAACTACTTTATGTGGGGTGCCATTCTATAAAATAGTTTTAAATGCCTTGTTAATAGTTTGCATATGTCAAGTGTGTAAATGGCTTATCTAAAAATAGTTTGGCTAATGTTTTTTTTAAGTACTATTATGCATGCATGAGATAGATATGACAATTATATTTAATATTATTATACCAAGTTAAAAAGAAAAAAACCAAACAACTTTGATGGTGCTGTAAAATCAAAGCTACTGAAAGTCATAATTGCAAAATTAATTATTAATTGTTTTGGTATTCTAATACAAAATCTTCAAGCAGCATCGTTCTGTTTTACTTCATAAGGAAAACATGCTCCTCAGAATCCATGATTAAAAATACTACTACTACTACTATTATTACTTCTCTCCACTTAGTGGAATGCCTTTTTGCCTGAGGGAGTTCATCACTAGAGTTACGGTGCAACTGCAATCTCTTGACAACGTTTGTTGTTTAAAATTAGTCTTTAATTTCCAGCCTCATGTTATAGTGCATTGTGCTGCTGAGAGAAGGCCAGACATTGTGGAAAGTCAACCAGATGCTGCTTCTCAGCTCAATGTGGCTGCCTCAGGGAACTTGGCAAAAGAGGCAGGTAAGGAAACCATCTAATAGATTTGGTTTCTTGTTAAAATACTGCATTTATTTATCCAGGAACATCAATACAAACAAGTTGTATTTATGGCTGTCATTTCTGTGCTCAGTGTGCAGTGGATCCATTTTCTGTGGGGGTAGGATGCGTGTCTCTGGAGGATCAGTGAACAGACCAAGTGGGAATGAATGGGGCTAGAAGATGAGGTCCTTCAGAGATTGTTTAAAGGTTTATTGGGTTTTCAAACAAGGCATGAATTAAAATAGACTATTTATAAATGTATTTTCCCAGCTGGAGTTGGAGCGTTCCTGATCTACATCAGTACAGACTATGTATTTGATGGAACAAGCCCTCCTTACAAAGAGACTGACGTACCAAATCCCCTCAATTTATATGGTAAAACCAAACTGGAGGGTGAAAAGGCAGTCCTGGAAAACAACGAAGGTAAGAGTACACTCAGATATTTTTAATAGAGGCTTTTTATGTAGTTGTATATAAGCTTAATAGACTCATAAGTCAGCAGTAAAGTTGCAAAACCATGGAAACGAGATTTAGAAAAGAATGCGATTACGAGTCAGTCTCCTTGCTCTTAAATGGTTCCTACTGCTTATAGGTTGCCTACAGCTTTATTTCTTACTTGTTCTGATCTTCATCTGTGTTACCGGTCTCTGCTGATGGACATTCATGAGCCTTCATCTGCTGTGAATCAACTGTTCCTACAGAAGGATAAAATAGGTGGTCAATATATTGTAACAGCCCGAGCTTTCCCACACGTAATATATAGCTGCTGTTATTTAGGGAAATGCAGTGCACTTGATCTAAATGTATATTTACTTAAAGGGGGAGAAAACAGACTTGTGATTCAGTAATAATGCGGATAAAATGAAAATAGGCTTTTGTTGTTACTCTTTTGGTTTTGTTGCTGATCTCCTGTCTTGCTCTCATGACGTATCATTGGGCCATTTGCACCCACCTGGCTCGCTTCACACATCACATTCCTGCTTGTTACACTGGCCAAAGGGTTAGTAACACAGTTCAGGTTTTAAGCAAACATTTTTTCTTTATTTAGGTCTCTTCTTAATGAAAATGTGCATTCAAAATATACAAACATAATTTAAAAAAATTCTACGTTCGCTTGTATTTAAAAAGAGAGGTTTGGTTGTTTCTAGGTAGTGTGCTGTCAGTCTCCAGTACCTGATTATAAGGAAAGAAGCATTTTTATTGTCTTAAAGAATTTGAAGAAAACAATCTCGGAGCACTTGCAGAAGAGGCTTTTGATATGACAACAGGACAATCACCCACACTGTGATTCTGCTGTGCCTAACCAGAGAATTGTATAGTTCATAAATTAGTGTGATGGTCTTTCAGTAAGTAATTACATACTGTATTTGAAAATGAGAGGCCTTAATATAGGTTTGGCAGTACTAGTAAGAAACAGACTTCCTAAAAAATACTTTAAGTCAGAATCAATTTAAATAAAAAGTCACTGACTCCACCTCATACATAAGTACCATCTCTGAAAGTGACTGTGGTGCTGTTTGTTCCCCCTTCCAGACTGGTCCTTCCCCCACTCATTGCCTCAGTTCTGTTTCACAGCCTTTCTGAGCGTGAGCTGCCGGACAGGTGTGGGTGCAGCGGTGGTATTATTAGCAGAAGGAATTTCGAGGTGGTGCTGAGTGAGATGCTTGAAAATGTTAATTTGGTTGTTTCATACAAATATAAATATTTTACATATATTAGTCATACAACCACTAATTTGCTAATACTGTATTAGGTAGAACTCAGTCTATCAAATGTCTGTAGTTGCGTGAAGAACTTCCCTGCCCGTTTCTGTTGTATAATGCAAGAATCTTCACAAATAATGTGGGTTTTGCCTATTTTTTAAAAAAAATGTTTTTCTTTGGTTGGGAGAGGATACAAGTTACATTTAGTACTTATGCTTATACAATGACAAAGTTTCAGTGCATCTTCAGAACTGAAAATAATGAAGGTAACGCTCCCCAAGTCTCAGCTCTCGGAGAACAAAAAAGGCAGTCTTTTTCTCAAATAATTAATATTTCTAAACATAATAAAAAAGAGATATTTCAAGCAGTATTTAAAGACAGGAAGAACATATTTGTTGAGTGACCAAATAACTGTTTTTAGAGCAGGAGGAAATCAGTGTCATGTTTGGTTTTTAATTGTATTTGTTTTTCTTGTGTAAGTGCTTGTTTCTGTTTATTTTTTTCTGATTTTTGTTTGCTGCTTCTTTTTGTTTTTCTAATAGCTATAGCATTTTTCCACCCATCTTTAAGAATTGCAATGATTTGGTGACTTCCACTTCCAATTTCAGGACTGATTTATTTATTTTTTTTCTTTAAGTAAAAATAGCTGTATTGCTTCTAATGAATTTGTCATAGCCCTCTTGGACTTCCCCTCAAAGAGGCCTTTTGAGTCTCCATGGCTGAGATAGACTGGTACGATGTGTTCCACCATAAAATATCCTTCTCTTTGCACTTCTTTACTGTTACTTTAATTTCTCAAATCACAATCTTGAAATCTTAATATTGTTTACTACTGTATCCTGTGAACCTATTCCTTATTTGTCAAGCTTTCTGTTAATTCCAAGGTTCATGTCTTTTTTCCGGGTAAATAATATCCTCCTGTGTGCAGGAGGCTTCTGCATGCTGGGCGAGAAATCTTTGTAATTGGTGCCTGAATATGGTGATTTGTCATTGGTGGGAATTGCTGTTCTGGCTGTTTCCAGGGAGGATGGGGAGTGCTGGAGTAACTGCATAGGGCACTTGGGGTTTTTAAATTTTTTAATTTTAGTTCTAACCCAAACAGGCTGCCATTTTTCTCCTGCAGTGTTAATGAAAGCTTGTTAACTTTATAGAAACCAATGGCATAAACAAAAACAATTTTACATAAACTGAAGTGTTTATAAACTATTTTAATTGATATAAATTAAAATTATATTCTGAGGGCAAAAATATTAATTGCATTTTCATTGTGCTTTGTAGATGCTTAATATCACCAGCATATTTCTTAACGCTTCCAGAACACTTTTCAGGTGATGCTACAGCATTCATGCCTAGTCATAACAATGGTAATGCTTATTAAAATAATCTTTCTTTTAGATGCTGCAGTACTTCGGATTCCTGTCTTGTATGGAGAGGTAGAAAGACTGGAGGAAAGTGCTGTGACTGTTATGTTTGATAAAGTGCAGTTCAGTAATAAATCTGCCAACATGGACCACTGGCAACAAAGATTTCCTACTAATGTCAAGGATGTAGCAAGTGTTTGCAGACAACTCGCCGAGAAGAGGATGCTGGTAAGAATTTAAATCAAGGTAAAATCAGTTCAGGTTCTTGGCTTTGTTTCTGAAGAACTGAGAACTTCATGTAATGTGCATTATTCTTTGCATTTCTAGAACAGTGGGAGGGAAGAATGAACTAGCTGTAATACTGCAGTATCTTTACATGACAGTGTGTGGATATTCTGGTATTTGAAACAAAAGTCAGGAAACTGATGGAACGTCCATCTGAAAATTGTCATGTGTCTCCTAGTATACAGGACAGAAATGTAAATACTTAATGTCATATGCCTTTTACAAATTGCCAGTTTGGACTCAAAAAACCTATGGTGGTTGAATGTAATTCTCAAAGATGCTGTTGTTTATTGTATTAAGAACACTGAAGTGGCAAAAAAAAAAAGCCACTGGACTTAAATACTTTATTGTATTTATTCACCAGAGCACCTTCAGATTGCCACATTCATTTTTCACACATATACCTTTGAAAAAAATGAACCACGTACGGTGGATGTGGTGCAATCAGTTTGATAGGATTTGTACATGGTTTGCAGATGAACATTCAGAATGTGTGTGGTGCCTTTTGCGTTTGTTTTTGAGTAAGTGAATAGCATAGAACAGCCGAGTTCCTCCTCCCCAGCTATTTGACTTCACCTGGTTGGCTTGGTCCTTACCCTCCTGTTAATTCTACACAATACAAGTTCTTTGTGAAAAGGCAGGTCAGATACACGTAATACCAGTTTTCAGGTTCAATCCCTAGTTGGATGTTCTCTGAAAACGTGCAAGACATTTCCATAACATCAGTGAGGTACTGAAACATTCCTTTCAAGATAGGATCTTGCTGGAAGATTATTCTGCCCAATTCTTGTGCAGGAATTAGTCGGAGTGCTAACTACCTTCTTTTTTTCACCTGTGCTTCCTGTTTCTTCTGTAGGACCCATCAGTAAAAGGAACGTTTCACTGGTCTGGCAATGAACAGATGACTAAGTATGAAATGGCGTGTGCAATTGCAGATGCTTTCAACCTTCCCAGCAGCCACTTGAGACCGGTGAGCCACGTGTTGTTTGATGTGTAGAAAGACGGATGTGCTCTATCCTTTCAAGCAGTAGGTCTCATGCTAGTTGTACAGGGGAGCTTCCTCTTCAGGAGGATCTGTGTGCGTGTGTCTCGCACAGCAGATGTATTGCTGAGGATGCTGTCTGGTGTCTTAACACAGGAAAACAGCAGCTGTTTTGACCTGCTGAATTGGGAAAATTGCCCAGTCCGTCAGTAACCAGTTTCGCAGTCTGTAGTGTAATGGTATTTTTGTAGAACAGTTCCCCTTATTCAGGAGTAAATTCATATTGTTGTATTTTGTCCTTAAAACAACTTAAAGATTGACAAGCCATTAGCTCGATGCTAGGAACCTGCAAGAACTTTTCCATGATGTCCAGATTTTTTTCTGAATACCATGCACTTGAGAACTTCACATCATTTTTGCTTAAAACAGGTGGTCTTCAGTTTTATTGACACTTAAAAGTAAGACTGCTCTTAAAGACATACTGGTAATGTTTTGAGAAACCAGCATGTAAATAAGATATTTATATCCAAAATGAATTCCAAGGATTCTGAATTAGTAAAGGGTGGAACTGAAATGTGGCTTGGAAGATCGAGAGAAAAAGAATGGAGAATACTAAGTTAGATTTGGACAGAAAAAATTCAGACTGTTTCTCTTCCAGTATATGGATTGAGACATGGTTCTGTCAACACTTTAGAGCGTTTTTTACCTTGTGATTATAGTCATAGGGTGAAAGTAGGAATAAAACATAGAAAAGCATTACTGGTAAGCAGTAATCGAGTGAGAAAAATTTAAATTAAGACACCTTGTGTCGATCTGCCTGACATTTCTTAGGTTGAAATGTAGTTAACCACAAAAGAAGCAAACAAACAAAAATACCCCAACCTGAAACCAAAAACCTCCCCAGTAGTTGGGAGCGAGGAGGGGAATGTACCTTTATAGAAAGCTAGGAAAGGAAAACCACTAAATGAGCATGTATAAGAAAAAATATTTTTCTGTCAGTTCTGATTACTTGGTGTGTTGGGGTTTTTCTTCTGTTTATTTTTCAGATTACCGATTGTCCAGTTGTGGGTGCTCTTCGTCCGAGGAATGCTCAGCTAGACTGCTCCAAGCTGGAGATGCTGGGGATAGGTCAGAGAACACCATTTCGAGTAGGGATCAAAGAATCTCTTTGGCCTTTCCTTGTTGACAAGAGATGGAGGCAGACAGTCTTCCATTAGTTTGTAACTTTTTTAGTAAAAGTATGGTATGTGGCACTTTTTTAAAAGAAAAAAAAAATAGTTTTGTATGAGTGTTCTTAAATTGTGACATATATGAGTTTTCATTTAATTGGGTAAACATATGGTCTTGCACTAGTGAAATTGTTACCCTAAAAGAAGTTCAGTGACAAAACCTGAGCCTATTTGATGTCATGGATCTTTCCTTTCGTTTGTACCAGTTGAACTTAATGTCTATTCCTAGCGGATTATGGTTCTTAGTACCATTTGATGCTGAGAATGACTCATCACTTGTACACTTACTTTTGGCTGAAATATGTTGTTGATGCTTAAGGTCTGTGCCATTGTTGTATATACCATTTCTCTTCATTAAAAGACATGGTCAGTTACTTTATTACCACAAATCTGAGGTTTTTGTTTTTAACTTCTGGAGGTGTTCTTATGAAGTTAAACTGAAGTAGGAATTGTTAAATGTTTGTTTTGCTTGAGCTCTGATCAAAATGTTTTTTTAAAAAAGTGAAACTTTATTTTTGCAATTATCAAGTGTACTTTTTATGCTTGAAATATTTTCAGAATGTTCTGTAACTTGAATGCTTGCAGCTTCATATTTGTACTGTAAGTTGTATGCATTTGTTTTAATGGTGACATATTAAAGCTAGGAGAGGGTTGGGAGGGTGAGGGACAAATAGTTTTGACCTGGGTTTTTTTGGGCAGGGGAACTTGAGTTGGATGATTTTGTTTTTTTCTTGAGCGGGGGGGGTTGTTTGTGTTTTGTATAAAAGCATGTAATACCTTCATCTTTCTATTTCTTTTGGGTAATATTTGGGACTGGTGAAATTAGGGGGAGGAAGATGTTTGTTAGTCAACATGTGCGAGAGGGAGAGGAAAAGTATTTGAAGAATTTGTAGCACTGCGGCTTCTTTTGCACAGACTCTCAGGTCTTGCACTGATGTAGCTTGTTCTGGAAAAGCAAAGCATGTATGATGAAGGTTTGCACCATAATAATGTAACTGCAATAGTTTAATATAAGCGAATCTTTAATCTGCTTTAGTCTAGTCCTTGAAGTTGGACTCAAATAGCCAGGTAAAGTGGAGGAAGAACATGGTTTGCAAAGGTTAACTTCCTTCTGAAGTTGTAGAATCAGCAATTGAAATGTTCTGAGATAGCCAGCAGATGATTGTTAAAACTAGGAAAAGCTGTATTTGAATGATCATTTATTTTTCTGAGGTTGAAATGAAGGGGGAGGGGAAGATGTTCAGCTTTTATTTAAAGAAAAAAAAAAAGGGAGAGGGGCACAACACAAAAATAAACCAAATGAATATCTTCTAAAGGTCAGCTTTATATTCAGTCATTTAATTTCCATCTGGCATACATTAAGAGTTCGTAATCCCGTTATGTTTTTAGTCTGAAGTCCTGATATACACATGGTAAACTATCTCCCAAATGACAATAAATATATATTGCCAGCATGAAAAATGGTTGTTGATTCTTTCTTTACCATCAGCATTTGTTTATCTGAATCATAAATATTTGCAACTTTTCTTGAAATCTGTGCACTCTTTCAGTGATTTCCACACCCCCCGCCCCTCCTTAATTCAATGAGATGAAGGTTTGAAAATCTGAGCCTGAAACATGCTGTGCCTTAGTGCTTGGTCAGGAGGATTCTGAGTACATCCTATCCACTTGCAGGCAGCTAAGTTCATATTAAATTTGAGACTATACTTTTTTTAAAAATCACAGTGAATTTAAAACTGATATGAAAAATCTGGGATGGGGATAATAAAAACCACAGGAAGAAAAAAAAATTTACTGTTCCCTGAGGTGGCATATATAATCAGAAGTGACACATTAATTAAAATCAAGTAGCTGAGTAATTTTCTAAGTGGTATTGTTTTTATTTCGTTTCCATTTTAAAAATGTGGGAATATACATTAATATTTGGAAGGCAGTATATGCCATTCTGGATTAACTGCTGATTTTTGTTAAACTGTTCTCAAAATGCTTACTGCTATACTGACAAAAAGAAAAGTGGTTGTTGCAATACTGACTAGGGCAGTATTCAATCCTGTACTTTTTTTTTTTTTTAAATAAAGGGGCTTTTTTTCAACATGATGCAAAACTGTCTCTTCTACCTGCAGGGAAGTGCTCTAACCATCCATTCCCTTCCACTAGTACAATCTAATTGGCAGTGCATCCATTATTGTAAACAGAGCAGTTTGACCAGGAAGGAAAAAGGACTTTTTGCCCATACATAAAGCACCCATTAGGGATGAGTTGGGCATTTTACTGGGAGAAGAGAATTGGAATTTTGAATTTTTCTCACACAGCACTTGCTGAAGTTCTAAATTTGCAGAATCATTTTTTGTGCCTAGTAAAATCTGTAATTGTTCAAACAGTAAAGGTGGGTTTGGGGAACTCGGTATTCCAGATAATATTTTTGTATAAGCTATATGATTTAATTCACGTATGTTTTGCACCTTGTATACACTGTTCCCCAGCTCAATATTTAATTTTTCCGCTCAAAAAGAGGGAGTATGTATTCATTTGAAAAAAGAAGGGTTTAGAGGTAGTTACTATACTGTTTTAACTCTGGAGTAAGTTTCAAAGGATGACAGTGTGATTGGAAGATATAAAGATGACAAGAGATGTATCGAAAAAAAAGGGATTTTTCTAAGTTGCACTCTTGATTAGTCGGATGACCAAGGACACAGAAAAATCAAATCTTAAGGCAATATGAGTTTTCCCACCTTTTACTGCATCCCTTTCACAAGAAGTTGTTTAGATATATTAAAAGGCTATGTTCAATGAAAACTATATTCCCAGCTATACAGCAGTCCAAGGGTTTTGTTACTAGTGTGTTTTAAAAATGTCTTGGATGCAATTTTGACAACTAAAAAGTTATTTTGAAGTTTAAGGAAGGTTTTAAAGTAGGTCACACTGACTATAATTGAGTTAAAAGGGTAGCTCCTTTCGTTCATTGACTTTGACAGCATGGCTCAAAAAGTATAACAGATTGAAGATTCACTATGTTAATCCTTTTGACCAGGAATTTTGGGGTAATTGTGTCTAAATCCTGGCAAGGTGATCATGAACATCAAGCTGTCATAATTAAGACGTGGGAAGTCCCAAGCTGAGATATTAAATCCTTTTGTATAAATGCATGTTAAGGTCTGGATTCTGCTCAGGTAAATATACATTTTATTTCAGTATGTTCACGATTAAATTTAGAAATCTATTTAGTGATGTATTTTCCATTTTGCTCTGTATGTAGTTTATGAAAAATAAACACCAAACTCCATCTGGCTACCATTTCTTTATTTTAATACCATAATCCGAAGGCTGTGACTGACTACAAAAACGAAAGGCAAGTATGTTCTTAAATGTCATGTCTGTTCATTTTGTAGTTTTCCAGCCAAGAAAAAATGTTTTTAATGCTTAAAAGGTGAAAATCATAGCTTTTACATATAAGTTACAAAATCAGTTACAGTCTATCATCTTTGACAAAAATATTTAAACCAAAATACAGAAACAACAGTTCCTCTTACCTTTTTCGTACCAAGTCAAGAACAGGGAATCATTATTTCCAGGGTTCCATTAAGAAATGAAAAATTAGTTAACTCGGTCATTTCTGTGAAGGGAATACTACCGTTCAGTTAGATCTCGTCAGAGGTTATCTGCACCCTCAGCATCCCCCCACCATAAGGCAAGAGTACAAGTTGCCCCGGAGAAACGTAGTCTCCAAGACACTTTATTACTAGACAGACACCTTTCATGACATTTCCCTCCTTTGGTTATAGATATCCGAGAGCTCTTGATATTACAAGAGACAGTGAAACTAGCCCTGTAATTTTCCAATCATTTTTAAGCTATGCTGTTGTTGAAAGATTTGGTCATACTCTTCCCTTTTCTTCTCTGGCTTTGTGTTTCTGGCTCCATGGCTCTGTAGGTATTTGTGTCAGTCAACAAGAGCTCAGGAACCGCTTGGGGTCAAAATCATTGTGATTGCATGAGACACAATCTCTGTGCAGAGGAAAGAATGGCTTCTTTTTACAGAAGCAGTGCCAATTTCTGCCAGCTTAGTGATTGTGGAAGTATGGCATTACAGAGTCAGTGCTGCTTGAATCCTCATTCTAGGGTTATTTGATGTTTATATTCATTTATTCATTGTGCTCTGTCAGCCAAGGGGATAAAGAAAGAAAAGTCACTGGTTTCAAAGTCTCATTTTCTGTGTAGACTGCAAAGAGGCACTTCACTTTTTATCTTCCAGGCCTTCTAAACTTCTAAAGGACAGATTTTCATGAATGAAACGAGGTTTCTTATCTCATCTGGTCTCTTCTGATTTATTTCTACATAAAGGTGAGATAAACAACATATGGATTTTTCTCTAAACTGAAAGTAAAATGAAGTTGAACTTAGCGTTTTATAAATGATTCAGTTCTTTTCTAGGTCTCCACTATTGTTAAGATGAAATACAATATTGAAATTAAAAAATATTAATGCAACCTATTTACTTAATTTCAAGAGAAATGTGACTTGTTGACCTAGTGTTGTGCCCTTTCTCTACTGTCTAAAGCTAATTTTATTAGCATGGTTTCGTAGCAGCGATATCTGTTAATAGCTTTGCAAAGAGAAGAGTTTAATGTAGTTCTTCAGTGACAGAACTCTGTTTTTAAACTCAGTACTTTCTGGTTTATTGCTGGGCTGAGGCACCGCAAAAAGGTTGTCACTGTAAACCTTCACAAAGTTGCCATTCTGTCCACTTGCTGCTAAAGTTTGTTGTAAATAACTAAAGTATGGATCAGTTCCAAAAATGGCATGCTTCTCTGCTTGTAACTGATAAACTGAAAAGCCATCAGGGAAAGGTAGAGAATTCTTATTAGACCAGTGGTCTTGAAGCCATGAAGCAATATCTGCTACCAATTTCCCAGAAAGTTGGGCTCCTGCGAGTTCAATAGGAACCTGACATTTTTCAGGAGTGAGTCATTTGAGGAAATTTCTTGGCTGTTTTGGGAAGCACAAAGGTATAAGAAGTGTTTTGCTTTCCAGTAGAAGCTCTGTAGCAGAAGTGCCAGTGATGTAATCTCCAAGGGCTTTTGTGCACAGCTGGACCTTCATGCCCATCAGATTTATAAAGCAGTTTGTTGCCAGTTTCTTTCTAAAAGAAGCTACTCTCTCCTTCCATTCCAAATTTCCAATTTGCTAATACACAAATTCCCAATTTGCTAAGGATTTTGCAAATAAAATAAAATAAAATAAAATAAAATAAATGTATGAACTTGCTAGATTCTCTTACATTCCAAAATTCAATATTTTCTCTGTTAAGTGCTGAAAGACAAGTAAAACTGATGTAATAAGCTCTACATACCCACTCTGCTTTGGTACTCTGGCAATCATAGTTTATGGGAAGAAAGTGAAACAGGAAAATCAGATAATGTATTAAATCCTTTTGGTTATTAAGAGCCACATTTTGGCAAACTTATATGAAAATCTCTAGGAAAACATAATTTCAGTCCAAATCTTTTAGCTTCTCTCATTTCCTCCTATATGTTATACTGGAGATTTCAAATAAAACCAGGTTGTCAGAAGTTGGTGACATTTCTCATCACACAAAAAGAAATGTAAGTTACAAAATGGCAGATTGGCATTTTTCCCATCTTCTGCCTGCTGTCTGGAAGAGGATCTGGCCACGTGATCAATGCACCTGTCAGTTCCATATTAAATTACTATAGCTGAAAGAAGGCAGAAGCCATTTGCACCAAATGCTGCATCCCTGAGCAAAGGATGGCACTCTGATACACTAGGCTACAGTTGTTCTGTTGTCCACTCAAAACTAATATACTGATTCGTCAAGCTATAACTGGCTTAGGATGCAACCACATCAGTAGCCTTTCCCATACCCATTATAAGCCTTTGAGAAGACACATTTAAAAAGCTATTGAGACACATGGGTACTACAACTTAAGCAGTGGAGTTGGGGATTTTAATGTGTGTATTTATGGGAGGGATACCGCTCAGAGAACATCTCAGATTCTGTGAAATGCAGTGAGCAGATTACTTCATAAAATCCAGTCATGTTGCTGCCCAGGCTTTCTTTGCTGTGTAATGTGTTAGTTCAGTTCTTAATACAGATTCACAGGAGGCTCAGAAAGTATGGTGGCATGAAGGCTAACTTTTGCTCCAAAGCACCCTAACACACCTTCAGGAGGTACCTGCAGGAGCTCCATGGTGCCCTATGCCTGCCTGGCATCTGTCCGAGCGGGCAGAAAGCAGGACAAACAGTCGGAGGGTATGAAGGCTGTCATGGATGTTCTCGTGTGCTGCTCCGTATGGACTGGTGACAGTGCCAGGAGCTGTAGGGCCACGAGGATTTAGGTGTTCTCTGTGTATGTTGGGGGTGGGAGGCAGGAACTAAAGTTTAAAAACAGTATTTAAGCTTGCTTTAGAATTTTTCTCTCTTTGATTACGGGCTGCAGTGA